TTAGAAAATGTTTATGTTTACAAAAGAGTAGATAGGCTACTTATGTATAGTATCCTAATCCTAAAAACAAAATACTAATTATATTATATTTTTATTAACTTACTCGCACGCGATACATTTTTTTAGAAAGTAAATTAATTACTTGAATGAAGTATTATAAAGGTGAAATAAAGTTGAAAGTCAAATACAAGAATATAATTTTGGCCACGCTTAGTAATTCTGTATGTCTAATTCAGAAATATTTTCTTGAATGCTTAGACCACGTATATGAATAACATTGTTACTATTAGCAACACGTACATTATTATTGTCAACAGTTTTACTAAACGGGTTTGTACTCATTATTCAAATTGACGCAAGGGCTTTTAGTTTCAAATACTGTATGGATGTTCCTTTAGAATTATTAAACATGTTTAGTTAAAAATAAACTTATTCTATAAACCTTCAGTTATAAATAAACATATATGGAGAAAGATCTGGTAGTTTACTGTATATATTTTAGGATTTTGTGTACATTATCAAAATGTAATGATAATTTACACATAATTTGCATTAAATGTGTTAAATTCCTTATAATTTAATCAACCGAAGTAAAATATGCATTAGAAACACATTCCAGAGCTATCTAACGCGGAAATACTAAATTAAAACTCGTTTGTAGCGTGTAGTTGAATAATCACAAATACTCGGGTATTTACCTGCAGTTATAAATATCCGGGTACCTTATACCTCTATCATGGAGCGTATAAAACTCTATTTTGTTGTAATTGTGTTGTTAATAGGTCATTGGTCGGTAATCGGTGTAAGATTAGAATGTGTCTTGCTGACGCGATGCTGATGTAAGCCACACCACATCTGTCTAGCAGCCAGACATCTATCTAGACATCTATGTGGCGCCCCATGTTTTGCTGATACCAACAAGATTACGTACACACGAAGAGGTAATGACGCAGTTCCATTGATAATGGAAATTATTTTCCTGTCATACAACACTCTTAGGCCTATTTTATACTCTACTTCACATTCGGCTCTGTGAGTGCATAGATAGACCATGCGGCGGGCGGGCGGGACTAGATGCACGCAACGACGGCGCACCTACGAGCCGTAGAAACGTGTGGCGTTATGATATAGATATAGTTTGACAACTTGTGTTTTTGGCATATACCTGTGCCCGAATTTAAATTTGTTATATCTCAGTTGTTAAGGTCGTACAAAAAAGTGCAAAAATAGTATAAAATTATAATATAGTTCATATGGTAAAATAATATATAACTTCTTGGGCTATAGGCAATACCCATACCCCGACTTGAAATTTGTTATATAAGTATCAGTTCGTATGGTGGTACAAAATCTTTTTGGAGGCGCGAACCTGTACAGAGACAGTACGAGATTGTGATTTAGATTATTATCTAATATTGTATATATAGATCGTGTTTTGGCGTAGACCTGTACCTTGACATAACATTTTTGGCCCTAGAGTCTTAATTTAAATCGTACCAAAATGTTAGCGTTTCTGTGTACTACAAAAATAATACAGTACTATGATATGACATAGAATGTTCTAGTATTTGGGCACTCAGGTTTTGGCGTAAATTGGTCTGCAACCCGACTTGAAATTGGTAATATCTCAGATGTTCAGGTGGTACAACATGTTCTTTTGGTGGTACAAAAATAATACAAAATGATATGATTTGGTTGTATGTATTTGGTTTAATATACAACTTGTGTTTTGACGAAGACCTGTACCCTGAGTTTTGATTTTCGTATAAATATTTTGGGGAAGGGGTAAATGTATGTTTGATGATACAAAAAAGTACAAAATTATGATATGGTTTAAAGTTTGAAAATGAAATGTCGGGGTACATATAGCACTATTGCCCAACCTTTGTTCTCATAGCGTCAGGAAATTTGAGAGAAACCCCTTAAATCAAAGAGTTCATAAAAAGGAATACGTCCGCTGTCGGTAGGTTACCGATCATGTCTAAGCAGGCACGCTTTGGATTATTATTGTGTTCATATTCAAAGTACAACTAATTAAATTAACTAGTTAACTAGCTAATTCTATACAGCCAGGTGCTACTCACCAAGTTTCATTAAATAAGTTCATTAATTAAGTAAGTTCATTAGTTTCATTAGCGGTTATCACATGTGCTTCACACGCACAAGGTCCCTGGTTCGATCCCGGGCGGAAAGAAAGAATTTTGCCAAAAAAATCAATGAATTCTTAAATATTCTCGTATTATGATTACAAACAAAGTTCGAATAAATACTTCATTTTATATTTTTACAAATTTGTATGAATGGTCTCAAAATTAATCTTTTAAGAATCTAAAAGATATAGAAACAAGCTGTAGCAACCTTATGACGGACACATCTTAATTAATTATATTGTCCAGTGGCGATGATCCCGGGGTCAAATCTCAACAATCATGAATTGCTTTTAGATGGGTTTCATGAATCAGTTTTTGTTTCGTAAATAAATTAATTAATTGTATTAATTAATTAGATACTTGATAATGCTGCGACCTACTAGAACTAGACCTAGCCCCGAAGTTATATGTAAAACGGGTTCGGTCTATAGCCTTCGCCCTAGGACGTAAAGGTAGTACTTAATAAAAAATATAAAAATTACAACTTTCAAAAGTACAGATTATGTAGTTGGATTCGCTATTAAATAACTGCACAAGCTTACACAATTTGTGACTATTATAGCTTGTGCTGCATAATATAGCTAAATTATTGACACAAAACGTCAAAACTAGAAATGTATAGCCACAGTCACTGCACTAATTACTATTATTGATGCGATGGTCGGGTCATTGCTGGATAATCCATAAATAATGGGATTTAAACAGAGAACTAATAAACACGTGTACGTTCATTAACAGAGTATTTGCACTCACACTATTATTATACGTATTCAACTCATTGCCATGGTTACTATGTTACATTGAATACCAATCTGTTCAATCATTCAAGCTATTTTTATTATTGTTTTTTGACGTTTTCTTTTAAAACAAATTTATATTTTATAGACGAATCGTGTACTCATAATATAGGTAATTATAAAAAAAGAGTAAGACATGGTTGAGAAATCGATAACACTTTTGATTATTCTGATAACTAGCAGTGGCAAGGTTATACAGGGTGAATAAAAAGTCAAGACCAAACCCCCCCCTCTAATATTTTTCCAAGTAAATATACAGAGATATCCGTTTGGTAGTCGTGCAATCTTAGCAAGAAGTTTTATTTTATGATTTTGAAATTTTTGAGTTGCCCCCCAAATCCCACCTTTTGGGGGGACACTAAAAAATTTCAAAATCATAAAATGAAACTTCCCGCTAAGATTGCACGACTACCAAACGGATATCTCTGTATATTTACTTGGAAAAATATTAGAAAGGGGGGGAGGGGGTCTTGACTTTTTATTCACCCTGTATACATCGATGGTGGCAACTAGTAGGGAGTGGTACGATAGTGTGATGTGGGCCTTCAAATGTAATAATCTACATGCACAAACAAATGATTAAACACTTCAAAAAAGTATCTCGAATAGAATAACCAACAACAGCTCCTTCAATAATGTGACGCAATTTAACGTAGGCAAACCACGGTAACAAGCGTTGTCGGTAATGAAGGAACTCAAGTCGTATATTTATTTGAAAATTAAATAATAGCCTACCGGTATCTTATTTTTATATTTGGTTTATTGTTTACTGTTATCTGTTATTGTTTGTTGTTTTGTGGTTGTTTTGTTAACTGTTGAATTACAGTACAGCATTTAAAATAAGCGTAGGCCTACACACTGCTATGAAATATTTATTATAGGCCTATCTTACTTAAGTTTTTGTACTGAACCACATTTAGAATCAGTCTTAATAAAACAAACATCTTAAAGCAAAAATAACTAATTTGGAAAGCTCCTATTACGAAGATATCTTAATATATTAGTTTTACATGTAAATCATCCCCTTTCCTATTTTTACTATTCAATGAAGTTATAAAGTCATCTCTTCGAAGGTTAACACCTCATGATCCTTCAATCTCGACTACCAAACATTTTCAACAACTCGCGATATTTAAGGCCAGTGAAACACTTACCGACAAAATCACCGGACGCCGGATCCGGCGAACGTTGAGATACACAGGAAGGTATGGGGAATGACGCATTGTTCCGGTTCGGCGAAACAGCCGGTCCGGGGGGAAAATGCTCCGGCAAAGCCTACGGATATTCCCTACTTCGCCGGACAGCCGGACCTGCCCTGCCCCAATCCTCAGTCATCCTGGTTCAACCGAAAATTTTTATGGGTGGTGGTTGTGTTGTACTTTATTTTAGCGCAGTGTACAAGTGGTTATTTAGTTTTTATCTTTTATAAGTCAATTTAGTTTTATATTCCATCATGAGTAGATATGGATTTATTAATAGGTTTAGTTCATGAACAAAACCAGAAATCTAGGATAGATCTCTGGAAATTTACAAGGACAAGAACAAAACCAGGGACAGCTGTGTGGCGCTCAATCCAGCCTTTTTCATTCCTTTCGTCATTCCTGAGCTGTAGAAATAGAGGATAAAATGCTCTATGAAGTTGCTCCAGAATGGGATGAACCCATTACTCGGTGTTTCCTCTTTCTTCTGTGGTGGAGCAACCACAGTACCACGGCCAATTTCTTAGGTGTTGACAGCACCATTTCAAAGAAATAACTGATGATTCAGAGTTCATTACACAGTATTTATTGTCGCCGGCTCGGGGCAAATAGTTTTCGCCCTGACAGTGTGTTCTCACATTCAACCTTTGGCGTTTGCGCCGGAACCGGCTTCCGACAAGTGTTGCCTGGCCTAACATGCTAGTAACTGGGTGGGATCGTGGAACAACGTGCCCGCTTCGGCATCATTGAAGATGTTTTGTAGTGAAATAACATGAAGCGTGAAACCAGAGGACCTAAAGCTATAAAATGAGTGGTTATTTTAGTTGCTCAGTACATTGTAATGTTTGTTACAGGTACCTAGGTGTAGTGGGTGTAGGACCACCCATGCAGCAGAGTCCTGGAGTGGTGGTGGAGGGGGAGGATCCAGAGCTAGCGGAGGCTAGAGCTGTATGTGGCTCACTACCAGGACTGGTGGCTCAGCAGATTGAGGTGTGCATGGCTCACCCTGGCACCATACGCAGTGTCAGCGATGGTGCACGCCGTGGTATAGAGGAGTGCCAATTCCAGTTTCGCAACGAGAGATGGAACTGTACGACCAATCCTGAGGAACAAAGTGTTTTCGGATACATTCTCGACAGAGGTATGAATACTTCTAACAATAGTTGAAATATACTGAAATAAGTTTGTCACCCAAGCTAGCTACTCTGAATACTTTGTTCTTGAAATGACCAAATCTTAACAAAGCTTGAAGCTTTGAAATGGAAGGAACTAGACATACCATTTTCCATGCTAAAGTTCTTGACAGTTTTAGATTTAAATTTAATGGAATGAAATTGAGTCAACAACATCTTGTGGTGGTGTAAATTAGTATCTCAATCAATTTCAAATAAACTAAGTATTTAATCAAGCAAAACTAAAAATACAAGTCATTGTAAACTGTAGCATCCTTTACGTCAATGAACTATCTCAGGAACTATGAGACAGAATATGGTTTTGACAGCAGCGCCATTGAATTAATTAGTAATCCCATTTATTATTTATAATTTATTTATTCATTTATTTATTTTATTATTATTAATTTATTATTATTTACTAGCTGTCGCTATTTTCTATCCATAATGAACCAATCAAAGAGGGCACTGGTGTCTAGAATTTCATTTTCTACCTCTTTTTGTTAATGAGATTGTTGAAGTGGGATAAAAGGTGCTATAGATCTATAAGAAGTTGTCCTGTCATTTTGGCTTACTTAAAAAGTTTGCATATTCGACAGAAATCAGTGTTGTTTATCAGCGCAACCTGTTAGTGGCTCAATTCAACTTTACATGGGGATGGAATGTCTACGTAGTTCTGTACTTAGTGAGTGGCTCATTACACTGGTTTGGTTAAAACTTTACATGGGGATGGAATGTCTACGTAGTTCTGTACTTAGTGAGTGGCTCATTACACTGGTTTGGTTAAAACTTTACATGGGGATGGAATGTGTACGTAGTTCTGTACTTAGTGAGTGGCTCATTACACTGGTTTGGTTAAAACTTTACATGGGGATGGAATGTGTACGTAGTTCTGTACTTAGTGAGTGGCTCATTACACTGGTTTAGTTAAAACTTTACATGGGGATGGAATGTGTACGTAGTTCTGTACTTAGTGAGTGGCTCATTACACTGGTTTGGTTAAAACTTTACATGGGGATGGAATGTCTACGTAGTTCTGTACTTAGTGAGTGGCTCATTACACTGGTTTGGTTAAAACTTTACATGGGGATGGAATGTGTTCGTAGTTCTGTACTTAGTGAGTGGCTCATTACACTGGTTTGGTTAAAACTTTACATGGGGATGGAATGTGTACGTAGTTCTGTACTTAGTGAGTGGCTCATTACACTGGTTTGGTTAAAACTTTACATGGGGATGGAATGTCTACGTAGTTCTGTACTTAGTGAGTGGCTCATTACACTGGTTTGGTTAAAACTTTACATGGGGATGGAATGTGTACGTAGTTCTGTACTTAGTGAGTGGCTCATTACACTGGTTTGGTTAAAACTTTACATGGGGATGGAATGTGTACGTAGTTCTGTACTTAGTGAGTGGCTCATTACACTGGTTTGGTTAAAACTTTACATGGGGATGGAATGTGTACGTAGTTCTGTACTTAGTGAGTGGCTCATTACACTGGTTTAGTTAAAACTTTACATGGGGATGGAATGTGTACGTAGTTCTGTACTTAGTGAGTGGCTCATTACACTGGTTTGGTTAAAACTTTACATGGGGATGGAATGTCTACGTAGTTCTGTACTTAGTGAGTGGCTCATTACACTGGTTTGGTTAAAACTTTACATGGGGATGGAATGTGTTCGTAGTTCTGTACTTAGTGAGTGGCTCATTACACTATTTAATTTTTAATACAAAAATTTGCTACATCTGATTGATATTCTACTTCAGTATCCAAAAGTCAATGCTTAAACTCTATGATTAGTATTACAATGTTCTTACCAATTCTATCAATCATATAATTTTAACAAGTGCTCGGCTCAACTAAAATGTTTGAATCACTTCATTTAGTATACGGTAATTTTTAAACTTTATCTTGTGTTGTAAATGTTTTAGGAATTAATAATTTTAGCAATTTTCCCGTAGGTCTCATAGTAAGCCCTAGACCCAGGACTGATTTACTTTTTCATTTTGATGTCCCCAGAGGCCAAAAATACTACCGTTTGCACAATAACTCGAGTAAAAAAATTTGATAAAATTTGGAACAAAAGTTTAAACCTACAACATACAACTATTTAAACAAGTTGGCTAACCAACATTATCAAACTATGGGAACAGGGTTTCATAGAGGAAAAACCGGATATTCCCTCTTTTGACCCCCCAGACATACGGGGTGGCTGAAAATTAACTTGTTAACTATTTGAGATAGGTACTTATAATCGGTTTGCTGCAACCTTCTTAGATATGAGGGGCTACAATAATGATAAATAATTTTGTAAATTTTGCCCTTGGGAGTTGTAAGGGAGGGGGGGGGGGTTAGCTCATAATTTTCAAATGGGAAGAATAGTCGACTTTGGTAGCATTTACCAGGTCTTGATGAAACTAAACAATTGACATAAAGAAAACAAAAATCAAACCACTAATAACAAAATTGTGCCCTAAAACGATTCAAATCCAACTACAGTAGAGTCCCGCAAACTCGGCGTAATGTGGACTGGAAGGGTGCAGAGTTTGTGAAATGCCAGGTTATCGGGAACTAGGGTTAAAAATAAGGACAATAAAATTTAAAAGCTTTTTAACCTTCCTTTTTTTATATTACAAGTCAGTATTAAGTCATCATATATAGTACAAAAAATCCTTGGTATGAGTTGTGAATGATTTTACTTGAGCTGGCTTGAGTCCATGTTTAACTTGAACTCAAAATATTAATAATTTTCTGAGCCAGGTGATGGCCGAGTTATCCATACTGCCGGGTTATCGAGTTCTGAGTTTGCGGGACTCTACTGTAACAATAATAATTTTGCAATTTCTTTCTAAACTATTTTGTTGAATTTAAAACAACATAATAAACAAAATAATTTAGTATTTTGAAGCGTTGTTTGTTGTACGCCTAATGGTTATGAAGAAAATTCCAAAAAACTGTAAATTTGGAATTTTAATGTTGTCATGGGGGCAAATCAACAGTTGTAGTTTGCTTGTTTAAGAAAATATTTTATCAAATTTGGCAAAATTGTTTGTTTCACACTAAGCTTAATAGCATTTAATACATTAATTAGCTTAATACATTTAAATAAATAAAAAATCACTTTAATCTCTTCACTGTACCGTACCAGCAAACCTAAGTATTCATGAAAATCAATGTTTTTTAAATAGAAAATTTGGAAATTTTGGTACAAACCCAACCAGGTGAATATAAATTCTCTAAGTCTGATGCAGGTTTGCTGCCTACTATTGCATGTGATCAAATCAAATCAAATCAAAATCATGTTTATTTCAGGAAGTAGAATACATTGTTACAATACTTTGTCAGTAAAAATGGTATACTTATGTTATAGTTACCTATGTAGGTCTAATAATATAATGAAATAGTCATTAAATATGAAATGCCCCTCTCATAGGCTACTGCCCATGTGTGAAAGATTTCCGCTATCAGGAAATGTTTATGTGTGATGTTTATGGGTGCAGGCAGTAAGGAGACTGCATTTATCTACGCTGTGACCAGTGCTGGGGTAGTGCACGCTGTCACACAAGCCTGCAGTTCTGGCAACTTGACAGAGTGTAGTTGTGATGCTGGCAAGCAGGGACAGACCACTCCAGAAGGCTGGAAATGGGGGGGTTGCAGGTCAGTGTAATGCAAAATCATAATTCAAATTATAGAAAATTGATGACTTAAGTAGTTTAGTTAACTTTCGGAAATATTAATTTCATCCTAAATGCCAGTATTAAATTCTTTTAGTAAGTTTTGCAGGGTTATGGAAAACAACTTATTGTTAATAATTTAATTAATAATTTAATTATTTTTCTAGTGGTAATAATGAAACTCTTGGTCCTAGGCAGGGCAAGGTAGCTGCATGGTTTGGTTATGAGCAGATAAAGTGCTTGCCTATAGTGATCAAAAGATTGTCAGTTCCAAAAATAATTGTTGTGTACATTTTTATTTCTCCCGCAATACGCAAATAATGAGGCGTAGGTAATTTCTAACTAATGTACCTATAACTTAATTGTCTTGTATAGTACTATACTATAACCAATACCATTTTGACAAAACCATAAAAAGTTTTGACATGAGCAAAAATACAATTTAAAATATAAAAAATTACTGTATCAACAAAACATATTCTACCGTGAGGTAATGGGTTAATTCGTGAAATGTAACAAAGCTAGTGTAGTTGTAGTGGATTCGGTTAAGTGTACATCAATAAAGCAATTTCGTTGATTGAGTGACAAGGTAGGCCTAATGTTACGGATTAATTGACAGCATTGAAATAATTGATAACCAGAAAGACAGACTGATATGCAGTAGATTGATTTGTAACCTCAGTACCATCGACTAATTAGATTGTCTCTCTATAAACTAAATTTGTCACTAAAAGTTGTTTTTTGAAAAAAATTATTCGACCTACATCAAACCGTAAACAAAGTATTTGTTTGTAAATATATTTATATACAATTTGTACTTTAATACAGAGTTGATGATTAACACATTTTTAATATCATTATAACATCCTTGTAGAAGCAAACCAGATTCAAAATAAGATTTCTAGTTTCTTTATTGCATGATTTTTACAGGTTGAAAACCACTCCTAAGAGAAAGAAAATAATTAGGATTCTTTGTTTGTTAAATTATATAAAGCTTCCCATAAAAAAATAAATTTGGTAGATTTTGTTAGAACATAATACAATATCCATTAAAATAATAAATAAAACATAATAAACATACAACAACCCATATTACAATATACATTTATTATTTTTATACCCGCTATGCAATGTTGCATTTTGCATTCCTCAAAACAAATTGGCGTAATGTAATAGCAAGCTGGACTTATGGCTGGATTGCAAACTCACTTGAAAAAAGGGACACATCAAGATCAAAGGAGGGTTTGGAGCTATCCTCCAGCTAAAGGGGTCCGAGGGGACTTTATTAAAATGTTATCGTTGAAACATGTTCTTTTTTGCTAATTTGGGATAATTTTTTTTTAAATTTATCTACGAACATGTAATTTAATTTAAATTGTGAGGCTGTTAAAAAATTAAAAAAACCCTCCACAGCAAACCTGCAGAGTAATTGAATTTTCATTTACCTGGCTGGATTTCTACTAAAATATTTCCTTATACTTCCTATTTAAATAACATTAATTTTAGTGAGTACCTACTTAGGTTTGCTGGTACAGGGAAGGTAATAAGGAGTTTTATTTATTATTTTTTCATTTTTTTATAGCTTAATATGAAATCAACAAAATTGCCAAATTTGATTAAACTGTATCCATAAACAAGCAAACTACAACAGTTTATTTGTTCTCCAAAAGAAAAACATGGGATTTGTTATAAAAAACGTATCAATGACCTTACCTCAGTCATGGCAGGAGATTTGATTGTAAAAAAAAATAAAAACACACATCAATGTATACATGGCAGCTACAAAGCTGAAATTTGTGTCATTCTGTTCACAAATGATGCCAGTAAATAATGATTAGCCTCGTTGCGGCGTACAAGCGAACTACGGATTCATACCCGAAACCGGCCCTCACTTAAAAGACCACTCTCGTACATTTTCATTGGAAAAAACAATGTTCTCTACCTGAAGGATCGTGTAATTTGTTCTGCTGTAAAAATGATATCTTAAATAGTTTGAATACATAAATTAAAAATACAAATAATCCTAATGGCAGATAACTCACTAACGAGGCATTAAAAAATATTTATTCCTAACTTTCATTTTTCTTTTGACCCATTTAACCTGTTCTTAAAATATTTGTACTTACTTACGGGACACTCTGTATACTATAAAAGTTACATAAAAACTTAATAATATTACAACTAAATAAATATTACAAATAGCAAAAGATCGTAAAACTGTTATTTTTCTACTTTCATTATTGATAATGACACTTTAAAATACAGTCTAAAGCCTGGAGACAGGGTTGGTTGTTACAGAAACACCAGTCAAATGAATAATCATATCCAAAGAGTATGTTGAGTTTGACTGAATTTGCAACAGATGCTAATTTGTGTAACAGTTGTGAGCGATGTGGCATCTCTGAAACTGCAAGTAACTTTTGGAATCTTGACTTTCAATTGGTTTGCGTCGTTCCCTAATTCATCCTTAGTTAGAAATACAGAATTATATATCACTAAATCATCAAATTGAGACAGGAGCGCGATGTAGCATATTTTAACCTGACTATGAGTGAAAGGAGAGATGCATTTTGTAGTTTGGTTACTGACTAAGACCAAAGCCCAGTTGTTTTAATACCAAGACTATTTATTGAAATACCAATATAAGGACAGCTGGGTCTAGATTTGAACCATTAAAAAGCTATTGACTTTTATAATTATTATGCTACTAGTGTGATACTTTTAAAATAGCTTTTGGGTTTTCACGTGGTGTTCTACATAAGCAATATTACATTTGTATTCATGAATAGATCATACTAATCATTTTACAAATTTGTATTGCCTTTGCCATCTTACCTATAAATAAAAATATAACACAAATATTAATTATTGCAAATATATACCATCGCAGGGCTGCCCCGAGGGGAATTTTTAGGCCAGGAGGGTGCCGGACCCTCCCCCCCTCGCACTCGGGGTGGTCCTGATACTATGCTTGATCATGAAACTTCATAACATTGTTTAACAAACGAGTTTCAGCATGTCAACTGTAGAGAGTGAATGTTTTTCTCAAACAAATCTTCTTTCTCAAACATTCTATCATTTCACAAGACACTAAGTTTACGTTTGTTGGCTTTCAGTGACAATTTGCAGTATGGAGTGAACTTTGCCCGCAAGTTTGTAGATGCTCCGGAGAGGATAAAAGCCTCTGGACTTTCGATTAAGAACCAAAAATCCTGGAGTGTGAGAGTTAGAATGAATCTTCACAACAATGAAGCAGGCAGACAGGTTGGTAACAAATATGAGGAGTAAAGTGGGGTTTGATAATCATAGAGTTTTGGATTCTAAAAAACTTCCCAATTTCTTTGGAAAATATAAAGTAAATTGAACATTTTCCATTGCTAGATTTGTAAAATGAGGTGCCTTTACATTTGTTTTTGTCATGAGAACCGAAGCTCCCTGACGACTTCCCGGTACCTGGTTACCTAACCCGGGCCCCATGGCGTAGGCCGGAGCTTACGCACCAACCCTGTATACACCATGGGGTGGATGACTTAAGGCCATCAAGCTTATCGGCTGCCAAAGGCAACTCCCATCTGAAAGAGGGTTGCCCCTCAATCCTAACCAGGGATACCGACTACTTGGTCAAGCGCCCACTCCACCTGGGTTCCCCCAGGTACGACACCCTGAAGGACCATAGTGGAATGCCCTGACGCATTTAGTGCAAGCAACACTCGGGACCTATCCAATCCCTGACAGGCAAAACCCGCCATCAAAGCCAGGAAGAAGGGGACCACCAGCAAGCTGGTGGGGGGAACCCCAACCACCCATTACCACCACTACCCGATCGAGGCCTTACCCAGTTGCTGGGAAGCAGAGGTGACCAAGATGTAAGGTGCAAAATTTTAAGGGGGGTAAAAACGTACTGCGAATAAATGAACACCAGAACTTACCCGATTTTGATCCACAATAGCCTACTCCTAGGTCTATGCGTTGGCCCTAGCTTCGGCTATGAGCCAAAGAACGTAGGCCTAATTATTTAATAACATTTAAGTACACAAACACACCCACAACTGCATATTAATTCATAATAGCACTCCGTTTCACCAAACAAAGTTAAACCGACCGATTTTACAAGTATTTATCACCGACAACGACAACATAACCTCAAACTGGTGTTTGTTGATTGACGATGACAGACGATAACTAGACTGAATCCCCGATCAGCTGTTGGCTAGTTTCCAAAATCACCACCGGAGCGCTTAAGCCGCGGCCGAGGAAATCGGGATTTGAGCCGGACAAGAGTATTTCGCTGTTTGACCGCCGACTACGACGACGACACTACGATTTTATTACGGAGGTTAGCTATACCATACTAGTTAGGCTCTTTTCACGTTTTACGTTATTTTCATCTCACGCATTGTTAATCTATCATACATTTTCGCTTCCTTTAAGTCCCGATTCAAATTATCTAAATTTTAATAACTTAGTTTTCGCCGACTTCATTCTAGACCCGCCAGTTCCTGCCTGCCAGTGACTAGAGGTGATTATCGTTTGGTTTGATTTAAATCAATTAGTTTCAAAATTACAATTTCTATGAATGATTATTCCGTACGTTTATTCTAATGAATTCACCGTTTTAATACCCCGAGACTTGTCGTCTGAGTTCTAAACCCTGTCTTTGGCGGGCGAGAGAACCAAGTCTTGGGAGTAGGCTGATATGAACAATCAGCTACGAATATTAGTATTAAATTTATCTTAATCATCCCACGACAAATTCTCCATTCGATTAAATTTTAAATAAATTGATCAGTCAAAGCCGTGACAAGTTCATATCGACTCCTGGATTTTTTCTCGGCTCCTTCTGAGCACTCCGGGGAAGAAATTTGAGTGTGGCTGGTTCTAGGGGTAGGCCTAGCCTGATGTAGGTGAATACTAGTTTATTCCCCCCCTAGAATTTTGCGTCACAAAGGCGATAGATCCCTGAACACCCCCAGCGGGCTTGAACCCAGCACCCAATCTACTTCGTTTGCCCATCAAGCCCAACATCACTGCCAGGCCATCAGGGTTTCCCAAAAGGAGGCAGGAATAGAAGTGGATCCCACCCGGATGAACCTATCCAGCAAAGGTGGCGACACCCTTTGCTCAATTGAGGTTCCAGGGAAAACCCCCCACACTCTAGATAACCATACCTTCCGGTCTCAGAGACAGGGATTGGCTGATGGAGTGCGCCCAGCCGTTGCCCTCACACTGCGGAAAGTTATGTTCCCCTAGATTGTCCCCGTGAGCTGACGGGTACTCGCCTGACTTCACCTCCAGGAAGGCTACTTCCAAAGTCGAGGATTTGCCACACAGAATGCTGGTCGCATGAAGCAAGCGGGCCGAAGCCCAAAGGATCATAGCTACAGGCAGATGATAGATTGGTGGCGCACTTCTACCTCTCGCAGAGCTAAACATCCCACCAACCTGGATGGAGGAATGTCACTGGGTACTCTCCCCTAAGGGGCTGGCTTGTCCAGTCGTCCATAGCTATGGCCTACTTGCAGCGCCGATTCCAACACCGAGCAGTTACCTGCTTTACTTGCCCGTTTTTCCACCTCCCAGGAAGAGGCTATTTCCAGAGCCGAGGATATGCCTCACATAATGTCAGTCGTACACTACAGGCAGGGCAAGCCCCAAAGAACCACAGCCACAGGCAGGTGAGAGACCAAAGTCTAGCAGAGCTGAACATTCACCATCCTGGATGGAGGAATGTCACTGGGTACTCTCACTTTGGGTACAACCCAAAAAGAGGCTGGCTTGTCCAGTTGTCCATAACTGTGGCCTACCTGAAGTGCCGGTTCTAACACTGGGCAATTACCTCCCCTCTGGGGGGGCAAGAGCTAGGGTCCGCGTGATCGCTAGGCCACGTACCCACGCAAGCATGGGCCCCCTGCGGGCAAATGAGGTGCCTGGAGTGGAAACTTTTTAATGTGATTTGTACCTATTTATGACAATATTTTTATCTTTCCGAAACAGAGGTGCCGGAACTCCGTTCTGCCGCATTTCCTAGCAAATCGAGCACTGCATTTTTCTACGTAAACTTTACTTTAGTTCTTTTGTGTAGGAAAAAACTTATCTCCATTCAAATATATTATTTTCATTTCAGGTTGTGGCATCCCTGATGCGTATGCAATGCAGATGCCATGGCGTATCTGGCTCTTGCGAACTCAAGACTTGTTGGAAAACAATGCCATCCTTCACCGAAGTGGGTGATACTTTGAAAAGGAAATACCAACAGGCTGTACAGGTATTTACATAATTTTAAAATACTCTTTATTGGTTGAGTATATGAATCAGAAGCAGTATTTTTTTTAAAACTTAAGTCAAAATCATAAATTCAATCATTATTTTAATAAATGCATATAGTATGGCATTATGTTACAATAAATTGAAATAATCTCTGTTAATGAGCTTATTCTAAGGCTCTATGCTATCGAAGTTTTGCTTCACTTGTGTTGAGGTTTTAGGTGCTGTTTGTCTTTAAAACCTTAAAGACCTAAAGACAAAAAGCAAATGTAAAAAAGATCTTTTTTGAGAGTGTAATACTAGGTGCCAAACCATTGAACTACTATATCGTTTGTTCAGTCAGTCCTCTAGCTATAGAATGCTGTGGGACAGCGCTATCAGCAAAGGTCTCCAGAGATTCTTACCCTGCTCTGCACCTCTTATTCATAACCTTGTAATGATTGGCCTCCCAAATTGTATTCAAAGGGTTGCATTCTTATAGAGTTCACTGAAGCTTAAGATGGTCCATCTTCTTTGTCATCTGCAAGGGACAGGCCAAGGTATCAAAGGTCTTCATCTGAATATGTCGGATTGTTGTTGCTCACCAATGCGACTAAGTCAGAACCTGATGTCTTCAGTCACCTGATGAATGCTTGTATTCGACCAATCAGTTCCTCCCCAGGAATGTGGCTCCCTCTTACCAGATTGCCAAGGGTTGTCTGTCTTACCTTAAGGAGGTACTCTCAGTTAAAAAGCAGTTGATTAGCAGTCTCCTCTGACCTGCCAAACTTCGTGTATAGTGGAACTCCATATACAAACCCCTTCAATGCAGACAATTTCTGAACTGTCCATGCCTGGTGATCAGTCCTATTGTAGTTGTTGGTCCATATCTAACCTCAGAATTTCTGACGAAACCAGTTTGGAAGGTGTGTGAAGGGAAGGGTAATAAAAAAAAAATAATAAACAATAATCAAACATAAATTCCCTGTTTTATTGCATGTTAAAGTTCGTTTCAGCTGTTATTATTTCTTGTTAGATATTTATTTATTTGTGGAATATCTGTAATCTAAAAGTATATACTCATGTTAAATAATTTTAAGAACATTTCTATCATATTTACACTTGTTTGTGTTTTTAATTTAATTAATTTTTTCAACAGTTTTCAATATTAAAGATGTTTATAATCATGTTAAAAAGCTATATTCCTAAACTGTTTAAGTAGTAGGAAATCAATTTTTTTGTACAGTTAAAAGTTCACACTGACTCAAGACAAAGTAAAGGATGGAAAAGTCAAATTAGTATTATAAGAAAAGCTGCAACCAAGCCTTTTTATAAGGCTTATGCAGTTTTTGTATCGTAAATACATTGTAAAGGGTGTCCCAGTAAGAACGCCGGATTTGAGGAGCGTCTTATCCTTATCTGTATTTCAATAGGAAATTCCCAAATTATCAGCGATGTTACCCGTATTAGGTCCCATTTGTAGTCATGAATCGCTACACGACGTAACAACGCGTGGTCATAGTTAAAGTGCACTACAAGTACGGAAGCTGCGAACTATTTACGGCCGGGACAATGCACCAAATGATCCATCTGTCCGAAGATTGGTTTATAAGTTCGAATAAATTGGCTCAGTTCTATACTGGGGATATTAATTTAAAGTCGCTTGTTTTCGCCAATAACCCTCAAACAATCCAAGACTTGAAGGAGGAAATGATTCGTGCCATTAATGGAATTCAACAGGAAGTGTGTGAAAAAGTGATGGAAAACTTTGTCAAGAGATGTCGAGCTTGTCAGTATTTAGCAGGTTGGCACTTACAAGACATAATACTCAATTACTAATCGGAGATATTATGCTTTAAGATTCATGTTTCATATTGTAAATTTAGCGAGAAAATATATGGTTTGTTAACATTTCAAATCCGGCGTTCTTATTGGGACACCCTTTATATATGTGCTGTACCAAGTAATAATAAATAAATAAACAATAAATCCTTATTTGTCGTAAAAATACAGAGGTATTATTGATAAAGTCATAAAATGCAGTGCAACTGCCAGGTCATACAAGTATTTTTTTAATTTAAACTATCTTAAAGTTAATTGCTTAATATTGAAAAAAATTTATTGACAAATTTACATGACTAGTTAAAAAGACACAATCACAAATTAAAAACTACAACTGCTGAAAAGAAAAAAAATACAAAGAATACAACACCTAAAACTGGACATCTTCACAACTGAAAAAATCGTTCAGTCCCAACAAACCAAAAAAAGGGGTGTCCCAACAACCATAAGTAAAGCTTATTTTTAAAATCTTGTAATGGTCTGTTTGCAATTAGCTTTTGAAAAACATTGAGACTTTTATAGATAATATTTTGTGGCTACTTGAGGTTTTATTTAAATGATGTTATTCTAAAGCAGCACATTTTTGTTTCTTGTGTTGTACCTGTGATTGCTAAATTTCAGATTGTTATGCATCCCAAGGTTGTACATCATCATATACCATACAAATAAAGAACAGTCTGAATCTCGCATTCTATGAATAGTTTTTTACAATGCTCATTCTGATTTGATCTATTCATTACTCTTAATAAAGCCTTTATTTGTAATTTCAAAATATTTTTAATCTTGCTGTCCAGAGTATTTTTATATCCACCCCAGAATATCAATACATATGTTATAATGGATTGAAAGTAAGCATAGTATGCGGTTTTTATATAATTGTTTGGAATTTGGTGTCTCAGGCGTCTCAAAAGAAAAATTATTCAGGATAATTTTGAAGACAGATAATCAATGTGGGATTTCCAGGATAACCGATGGTCAATATTTATTTTTATTTATTTGAAACAAATTGAAACACACATTTTTACATATCATTTTTCACCATGCTGCAAAAGCCTGACATGGCTTGTCTGCAGCTCATTAAACTAAGGGAAATCAAGTCCAAACTCTTATCACTTCCATCAGTCAGTGTGTGTGTCCTCCTTATCTCTCTAGCCTGTTATCACAAACATCTTGAAGTCCCAAAACTCTTTACAATAAAACAAAAACCTAATATGATTTAAAAAATTGAAATTCTTGACAAACACAATCATTTAAAAAGCTGAATAACATTTTTTTATTTTTATTTTATTTTTTTTTTTTTTAATTTTATTATTTTTTTTTTTTATTTATGCAGTATAAATAAACTCTATTTAGTCGAAGAAAAAATAACTATTAAACAATTTACAAATTGATAACATTTTTTTTTTTTTTTTTTTTTTTTAACAAAACTCTTTAGACCCAGATGAAATAACTCTAATGATAACTCTAATGAACTCTCTAATAACTCTAATGAAATAACTCTAATGAGTAGGCCTATACCCTAAAATTTTGCTGTGTGAACATAGTTCATGTTAGTTACGGAGAAGTCTTGTTTTAATGTAAATACAATATTTTGAATTTTGTCTTCATTTAGTAATAATCCATTTTAATGGAACCACCTTGATGCAGCCAACATTGTCTGATGAACTGTGTAATGTCTAGCTCAATCAGCTTACTATTGAGATGAATGAAGGTGGTATCATCCGCATATCAAATGTACTTTTTATTTAAATATGATGGCAAATCATTTATATAAATTATAAACAAAGGGACCGGAGGGACTGAACCCTGAGGTATACCCCATTTCAATGTTTTTTCTTGAGAGATTTTTCCATAGGTAAAAACTATTTGCTTACGGTTTTGTAAATAAATAGGATGAGAAAAAAACTTAGAGGTGAACCAGAAAAACCTAAGATAATTTAATTTGTTTAAAAGAATATCAAAGTCAACACAGTCAAAAGCCTTACTGAAAAAGGAACGATGTGGGTGTTCTCATAAAAGGGGTACTTCATCAGCCCATCTCCGACAATGTTCTTCATATGGTACATATTTAATACAACAATTCTATTATATTTTTTATTACACATTGTAGTACTTTCAGGTGTCACGAGGTGTAATAACCGGAGCTGTTAAAACCAAAGGAAAGAAGCGTTTACGGCGCAAAAGTAAACAGAGTAAGAGGCTACCAGTGGCAAAGGGAGATTTGGTACACATCCACAAGTCTCCAAACTACTGCGTACAAGACCCTGTGAAAGGGATCCCAGGCACACAAGGTCGAGAGTGCAACAAGACTTCTACAGGACCTGACTCCTGTGATCTCCTATGTTGTGGTCGAGGGTACAACACTCAGGTAAGACACCCTTCTTGGAGAATGATTTGAGATGTTTAAGAATTTTGGAAAGTTATGAGGTTTAAGTTATTATGTTTAGCAGTGGCAGATTTGGGAGGGGTGGGCTGAAGGGACTGCAGCCTAGGGCGGCAGATTTTTAAGGACCGCAAATTTTAGATTGTGTTTTAGTATGTTTTTTTTTGTTTGAAATTTCAAAAATATATTTAGCTAAAATAAAAAATGAACTTTATAACTAGAAGAGTCGAAGGTTGAAAATTAGACGTACTGTAATGATCAAACCTTTCCACATTCAACCTCCACTAACACACAGCAAAGTGGCGTGATGACTCATTTTCTCGCGAGTTACTGATCAAGGCAACACTTACTTGTACTGATGCAAGCAATATATTAGGTATGGTATCCACTGTTTTGTTGACATGTTTATGATGTCACTGCAGTGATCAGGTGTTTGAAGTGAAGTTTTGAGGTTAGGAAACGAAATAAACAGCCAGCTGTCTTGAAACCTTTTAGTACAGAATTGAGATAGGGAATAATTATACTGTATGTATTTTGAATATTAAAGACGTTTTTTTTTATTCCAGATCATGTGAGTTGTTATTATTTGAATAGACTAAAATTTGCATTACAAAATTAAATACCTCGAATCAAACTATACAGTAGCCTACTTTTTTTACTATTAACCATTTGATTCCATTCCCACTCCAATAAAATAAAATAGTACTGTGTTTAGGATTTATCTGTTGTAAAACAATGTTACAAAGTAGGCTATGATAATTTAATCAAAACTTCATTTTACTTAAAATGTTTAAAATGTCGTTATTAAACCTTGTTTACTTTCATATTTAAAATTATTATCGTGGCTTTGGTAATTAATTACTAATGAGTTAGTATGCAATTAAAAAATAATAAGAATAGTATAGTAATGAGAATAAGATACCGGTAAGTCAAAAGCTAGTGGGGAGATTCAGCTACTGTGTAGGCCTACTGGTAAAAGACAGGTGAGTTGAGGCAGACGGCACTTATTATAGTTATTTGACCACTGTGATTTGGCGTCGACCTGCCGCAAGAAAAGCGTACACGGTTGGAGGGGGGGGGGGGAATCTTCAAATCCGCCTCTGTTGGTTTGTTAACTGTTTTGACTTAATTCAGTTTTATTTCAATTGAAGGAGGTAACTAAACCAAATCAGTGATTTAGCATCATCTGAAAGACCAGTTATAAAATGAAGTCGTCCAATGTTTCCACAGACCTTCGGTTGTATTTGGGCTTACGATATTTTTGAAAACTAATAAAATTGAGCTTAACCACAGAGAAGTAAGATAGAAACACACTTATGGCACAACCGTGCACTTTCAGCTGTAGTATGTTGTGCCAGAAAAATACTTGTGATGAGCAAAGAGCCAGAAAGGTGAGCACTGTGTGGACATTCCTATCGCACAGGGTCTTTCTCCACCGTGAGCGTTGTAGTACATGAGGGCTAGGGAGTGGTGTAAGTCATTTACAGCTGTGGCTGTTAATTTTAAAATAATAAAAATGTAATAACTGTACTTGTAAATTAATAAGTTAAAAGAACCCGATACTAGGGACAACTTACTACATAGCATGTTAACTCCGACTGACGTTCCACTCCGCTTCGTGCCATCGTTCCTCGTCGGTGACGTCACTCAGCAGTGCAGCCAACCACACACACAAACTCAATATTCCTCTGGCAATGTAATATAGCCTTATATATTACACTCGCCCAAACTTAAAATAAAACTCTTCTCTATCGGCCTAACCTTTTTCTTCTAGGCTAAGCCAAATTAACAATTCTTTTTTTCTTTTCTTCTTTACAATTTTTTTTTTGTTTCTAAGCTTCACAAAATATTTCAATAACACTAAATAAACTTTCCTTCTTCAAATAAATAAACATAAAATCTTCTCTCTCTCTAACTCGGCCTTTTAACTTAAAGGTCGAGCCGCTTCGGCTTTTGCACAGTCCTTTGAGATCTCCGAAGTGGCGGCGGGCTGCACTGCTGGCTGGGCTGCACTTCGGGATGCTCGTCTGTAGTGTGCGTAGCTGGAGACTTAGGTAGGCCTACACTCCGTTGTTGTCTTGGTGATGTATTCCGAGTTTCCATGACACGAGGTGATCGCTCTGGCGGAGTTTGTATTCCCACAGCAGACTTGTTCTCAGGGGATTTGATCGGAGATTGCACTACTGGGCTATTGACTGTAACTTCCTCTTCCTCAGTCAACTTACTAGATCTCAAATGATCAGCGTGGCAGAAACGTATTTTACCTCCCAGGACGCTCACCACATAAGTAGACGGACTTTTCCGCTCCAAAATTCTCCCAGGAATCCAAGAAATGATCTCCTGCCGTACTGACTTCACAAGCACCTTTTCTCCCTCCACAAAGGATCTGAAACTTCCCCGATGGTTATCGGCTGCTTCCTTCTGCGCCTCCCTCTTCTTATCAATGGCTGACAATAAACAGGGTTTAAGCATTGTCAACTTAGTTCTCGGTTTCCATTGAAGGAACAATTCCGCAGGGGTAACACCAGTGACAGTACTGGGTGTGTTGCGAAATGCAAAGAGGAAATTATCCAATTTATGTTGTAAAGAAATGGTCTCAGAACCACTAGCCATAACCTGTCTTTTAAGGTTCTTCTTGACTTCCTGTACAAATCTTTCTGCAGCCCCATTCGAGGCAGGATGGTAAGGAGGTGAGAGCGTAAACTTAATACCGTTGTTGCTCAGAAATTCTCTGAATTCCCCACTAGCAAAATTGGGACCATTATCACTGACCAATTCTTCAGGTAGGCCAAAAGACGCAAACAGCGTACGCAGTTTTTCAATGGTTTTAAACGATGTAGTAGATTTCATGATAAACACTTCTAGCCATTTGCTAAAACTTTTAACAACTATGAGCATTTGTTGTCTTGTTAGTGGGTCTTCCGCATAATCCACGTGGATGCGCTGCCACCTACTTGAAGCTCTAGGCCACTGACATAATGGCACCTTAGCCACAGCATTCCTTGTACACTGACACACATGACATGAGAGAACAGTCTCTTCAATGGTTTTATCAATCCCCGGCCACCAAACAAAGCTTCGGTCTAACATTTTCATCCTATTTATTCCGGGATGCTGATCATGCAGCAATTGGATAACGGCACTCCTCAGTTTCTCTGGCACCTCTACTCGACTACCCCATAAAACACACTGGTTCTCCACGGACAACTCATCCCTTCTTCGAAAATAAGCAACCAGCTCAGAATCTTGACTATCACGCCACCCATGCCAAATGAAATCTCTGACCTTTGTCAAAACAGGATCAGTATCAGTAAGTCGAGCGATATCCTTAGCAGTAATAGGATTGAGATCACTCACCAATTTGAAACAGTCAAAGGCCTCTACCAGGGAAGAAACATGAGAGATGTAGTTGGAATCCAGCTCCAATTGGTCGTCATCAGGTAACGGTAATCTCGAAAGAGCGTCCGCATGTGGCAAGTCCAAGCCACGGCGGTACTTTACTTCAAAACTGTAGGCGGAGAGGATCAGGGCCCATCGTTGAAGACGCGCAGCGGCGACACAGGGAACTCCCCGCTTATTTCCAAAGATTGTCACTAAAGGAGCATGGTCAGTCTGTAACACGACATTTTTCCTACCGTAAATATATTTATGGAATTTTTTTACTCCAAAAACAAGAGCCAAATCTTCTCTATGCAACTGTGAATAATTTCTTTCACTAGCACTCAAGGATTTCGATGCGAAGGCAATAGGCCTCTCTACTCCATCAATAAGGTGCGAAAGCACGGCACCAACACCTCGTGGACTTGCGTCACAAGTCAAAACTAATGGTCTATTTACATCATAATGAACTAAGACATCTGAAGACAATACCCATGTCTTACTTTCTTGAAAAACAGAAGAACATTGGGATGACCATACCCACGGTGCATCCTTACGAAGTAGATCGTAAAAACAGCTAAGTTTGTCTGAAAGATGGCAAATAAACTTCCCATAATAATTTATAAGGCCTACATAGGCTCTTAACTCTTCCTTTGAAGTTGGCTCAGGTGCGTTCCGAATCGCCTCTAAGATACCCTCCTGCGGGCTGATCCCTTTGGACGACAAACAGTAGCCTAGGTACTGTACTGACGGCTGTAAGAATTTACATTTAGAATCATTTACCTTGACTCCATAACTTTGAAGACGTTGAAGAACACTCTCCAAGCGTGACAACGCTTCCTCTTGCGAAGATCCACCCACCAGTACGTCATCCAAATATGCCACTGACCCAGGTAGGCCACCAATAATTTTGTCCATGGCCGCTTGAAAGAGAGCCGGAGCCGAAGACAAACCATACGGCAGACGTCGCAAACGCACTAAGCCTTTGTGCGTAGTTAGAGTCAAGAGTGGTTGGGACTCCTCCGCCACAGGAAGTTGGAGATACGCTGCCTCCAAGTCCAAAACTGAAAACCAGCTACAACCTGCTAGAGTAGCAAAAATGTCCTCCGGTTGAGGCAAGGGATAGTGTTCCGACTGGATCACTTGATTAAGGGTTACTTTAAAGTCCCCGCAGAGTCGCACCCCACTTTTCTTCTGAATCACCACAATAGGAGTAGCCCACTGAGAGCTGGTAACGGGATAAGCAATACCTTCAGCAATCATCCTATCAATCTCATCTTCTACTGATTTACGCAACGCGTAAGGAACAGGGCGATATTTACAAAATTTTGGCACAGCATCCTCTTTTAACACAATACGTGCCTCAACATCCTTAATTTCACCAGGACCTCCTTTGAACACAGAGGCATACTTTTGTTTCAAACCAGAAACGACTTTAGGCTCATCGGCCTTACCTAGGGTTAGGTTAGGTTCACCACCCTTAGATTTAACACTGCCTGATAGGCTATTAAAATTACAAATAAAAATAGATTTCCAGTCAAAAGCGATATGTTGTAGCCAACTACGGCCTAGAAGCATAGGCTGGTTCGTACGATCAATCTTAACGACTATCATAGGTAAATGATAAGTCTGGTCCATGTAGGCTACTTTGACTAAAGCTTGTCCAATAACATTGACTTCATTGCCTGAATATGTAAGCAACTTGATATCTACAGTACTCAATTGTACATGAGGGAAATATTTGTTAAACAATTCTTGAGGGCACACAGTTAGTGCCGAGCCAGTATCAATTTCCATTAATACGGATACATTCTCTATCTCTAGGCTTACCTTAAAGGCAGAAACATTGTCACCAGAATTCATACTGTACAAAGACAAACTTTCAAACTTCACTTCATCTGGACCATGACTAGGCCTAGGCCTATTTTCCTCTTCCATCTGATGGATTTTAAATTTACCACTTTTTATGGAATTTTTCACTGGATTTTCTGATTTGAACCTGCAAACCTTACTGATATGACCCAACTTTTTACACCCATGGCACTTGTAATTACTATACGGGCAATTATTAGCCCTATGCTCTGGATTGCCACAACGAAAACACTTATTTATCTGGGACATATCTCCCTTCACATCACTTGAATTTGATTTAGATCCCGCACTGTGAAAATTTGAACCTCGGTTGGAAACACGTGGATTCTTCTTGACCTGAAACCTGGAAATTTCCTGAACACTTGTATTCGAGAATAGACCTGTTTGTTTCTCGGCCTGTTCAAGCCTGAGTGCAAGAGCCAACGTTTTCTTCAAATCCATTTCTTCGGAAAGTAATTTTTGACGAATTGCTTCATTTTTAATTCCCGAAACTAACTTGTCTCTCAGTGCGTCCGATAAGAATGTTCCAAAATCACACGTCGAAGCCAAATGCTTCACTGCCACTACGAACTCTGCAATACTTTCAGATTGTTTCTGGCATCGACTATAAAAAGTATAACGCTCAGCGACCACAAGGCGTTTAGGAGAATAATGATCTTCCAAGATTTTGCTCAAATTATCGTAAGATTCTTCATCAATCTTCTTAGGAGAAATAAGATCGGTGAGGACGGCTAATATTTTAGGGCCTATTACAGTAATCAAGATGGAGACCTGCTTCACGTCCTTGACCTCGTTGGCCTTGAAAAAGTGTTTGAAAAAGTGAACGTAACAAATACGAACTAATATCTTCTTCGTACGGATTAAACTCCGATATCCGACCGATACTAGACATTTCACGCACACGCGGATTTAATTTCGTCGCCAAATGTAATAACTGTACTTGTAAATTAATAAGTTAAAAGAACCCGATACTAGGGACAACTTACTACATAGCATGTTAACTCCGACTGACGTTCCACTCCGCTTCGTGCCATCGTTCCTCGTCGGTGACGTCACTCAGCAGTGCAGCCAACCACACACACAAACTCAATATTCCTCTGGCAATGTAATATAGCCTTATATATTACAACCCTAATAATGTCAACCAGTTTCAAGAACTTTTTAATTAAGTTACCTTTTTAGCGAATTTCCTATTTAGGGAATAAGCTATTTTGTTTTGTAGTTGCCTTGAGTTCTTGAAGTGTTACAGTATTTTCCTTACACTCATTTTGCCACGAGCTGTGGCATCTGAGGGGCCAAGGTCAGAAAGTATCCCAACAACCACCAGGATTTTAATTTAGATTGTAGTCATAAATGCCATTTACCCTATTAGAAATGAACTGTTTGTTTAAGGTGATGAAGCACGTGGAAAGATGCCATTGCAAGTTTGTCTGGTGCTGCTACGTCAAATGCAAGACTTGCGAGACCCAAATTGATCGTCACACATGCAAATAAATCTCACGAATTGCAGTACACAAATTAGTTAAGAAATAATTTAAGGTAGAGTAAGTTGTGTGCAATCACAAGTGATTTTACTGTCATCGACGTTTGCTTGATTCTGTTAAGATTGCTATGCGGTAACTTAGAGTTAGATCTTTGTGTCTCAGTGTCCCTATATTAGCCTCTCTTCCTTTAGCTCTCTCTTCTCTCTATTTATAATTAAATTATAAACTGTTTAGTCAATATTATATGTCTTATAATTTTTTATGATAAGATGCTAATCTATTTTACTTTGTAAAACTAATAACCCAACCTGAAAAAAATGCCAAATATAAAAAATTAGATAACTAGATTTCCAGCTAAGTGTAATGTATGCTATTGTAAGATTTATTGTATTATTTCCACTTAAATTAAATGAATATGATTTGTAGTTGATATATTCAATTAGTGATAAAAATGTTAAAACAAATATATAAATTCTTAGTTCTATTAATATCCAATTTTACCGAAGAAAATTAATTATAAATTGAAAATCCAGTTAAGTTTGTCTCTTTGTCTTTTTGTTTGAATGGTAAATGTAAGATATCTAATCCACATAATGAAAGTGTGATGCAAGGTAAAAAGAAGCACCTAACTTCTAAACAAATTTTTACTTTGACAGTAACTTGTAGTGTATTTAGACTCAAGAGACTGTAGTAGCCTCTTAAGCTTTAACAATGAAAATCCTTGTATAACGTTAACAAATTTAGATTTCTTACAAAATAAGTCAAAATAGTCAAAGTGTAAAACCTTTTCAATCAGGGTGGGAGCAAATTTTCTGTTTCTTACCTTAGCTTTCCTTACTCTTGTTGTTTTATTACTTAATAAGAAGCAGGACTAACTGTGTTCACTTCCTCTCCCTAAGTTAGTATGATAGTGGGATTGCATTTATAATTAATGATCTAATCTTTTGATTCACATGAATTAAAGCCAAACTACATGATCATGGAGTAACTAAATTATGATATGGGATGAAGTGATATATCCTATAATTTTGTCATTGGGTGATACCATAGACAAATAGAATAAATATAGACTGTCAGCTGTGCTGCGGTTGGCATAAGTCCCGGCATCCACCGCTAGGTTTGCCGTGTAGTTATGGCGCACACCGCTGCAGCATCTGCTGGTCACATACGGCTCCTGCGCTCCTCGCCTGCAGCGGTGGCCACCGGAACCTTCCTTTGACAGTCTATATTTATTCTATTTGTCTATGGTGATACTCTTGCTGATCATGTCACTAATAAAACCCCAAAACAAAATTTAGATTAATAATTAATTACAGTACAGTAATAATACTAAAAACACAACTTACTAGACTACTACTTTTGAAACAATACCTTAGTTTATAACACAGAGTAACTTATGTAAGTGTTTACTTTGTAAGACCAACTAAGTATTATGGTTAATTTCAAATGCACCAAGTGGTATAACATCTTTAACATCTATAATTTTAAACAAACAACATTTTGAATAAATTTAGTGAATATTACTGTTGACAAAATAATTATGTTATGGGGTTTTACATACACTTGTCTAAAATTCTAATGTTAAACAATAACAGTTGAAAACAGGTTTCAGTATTTTACATTTTTCAGTAACCCCCATAGTTAATTATCCATTATTCAAAACCAAGGCTTTTTAGCATTGAAAAATTATCTTATGAAGTAGACAAAAACATATAGGCCTACAAAAACTTTTCTTGTTGTTTACTAGGCTAACATTTTATATTTTAAAATGTCTTTTGAAATTGGAACTTAGCTTAAAATGGGATCAGCTGGTCTCCAATACAAAAGGAAAGGAATAAGCATTTCTCAAACTTAGGAAAGCCAATTAAACAAAATCTACAAAGTGTAAAACGTGAAATGTTCAGAAGAAGTTGCAGGGAGATAACTACAATTGGTATAACATATTATATTTTCCAACTCTTCCTTTTGTCACAACCATAACGAAGTAAAAAGTCATCAATCATATTATTTATTTATTTTGCTTATATACTCCTGCTGAATTTTCAATGTGATTCAGTTTCTGTGTTATAATTGTTTTCACTATCCATTCATTTCTTGTGGAAATATTGCACACATTGTACTTGGTATTCCTCTATTATTACCAGTCAAGTTGCAACACTTAAACAATAATTATTGTTTAAACAAATAAATCCCACTATTTACACAATGTTAACAACCTTCGTTAGCAATGTACCTAATCAATGTAGAAATATAGTTTATCTCTTAATTTATAGTATTAATTTGTAATTAATTGTATTGTTGTAACCGCCATGTCAATATGTAAAATTGTACAAGTTCCTTCTACTACTAAGGACAATGCTCCTAGATTTAATGGTATTTTAAATATCACATAGTAAGATCAGTATTTAAAGTTCTAAAATAGATTTTAAAGTGTAATCGATTTGTGATTTATATAGTTTAAAATATGTTTTCTTCCTATACATTCTGTATAAATAATAAATTAAACTTTTGATAAGATGTTTTGTATGAACATTTCATTTCATCCCTTTAAATGACAGTATATAGTGATAATTTTTTTGCAAACATATTAATATAATTTTATTTTAATAAAAATACTGCAATTGCAGAACTACTCCTAATAGTCTGTCAATGAAGGGGTCTTGTGCGTGGACAGAACCATTGATCATATACAATATACAATCACCGTGCGCACGGCTGAACGGGCTCGGGACTGCGGCGGCACTCTCCTGAGCCCGTTCAGCCGTGCGCACGGTGATAGTTTTATTTAAATGTTTTCGTCTTCATCAGTGTCGTGTTTTTATGTTTACGTGGTCAGACTATGTTTTTTCAATGTAAAATATTTTACGCGGTTGTTACACCAACAATGCAACTAAGTATGGAATAAGATGTTACCCCCCCCTACTAAAGAAGAAATAAAAGAAGCATTGAGACGAATGAAAAACTGGAAAGCTCCAGGAATTGACAATATCCCCCCTAATATCCTCAAGGCAAATCCAGACATGTTATGCTCCTTTTTAGAACCCCTATTAAAGAAGATCTGGGAAAGGGAAACAATACCAGAAGAATGGAATCAAGGAGTACTCATAAAGCTTCCAAAGAAAGGAGATCTGACAGACTGCAATAACTGGAGGGGAATCACACTGTTGCCAACCTGCAGTAAAATTCTTTCAAGAATAATTCTCAACAGAATTCGGAAACCCGTTGAAGAAGTCCTTCGTGAAGAACAAGCAGGATTCAGGGAATCTCGATCGACAACAGACCACATCAACACTTTGAGAATAATCATTGAACAGTTTGTGGAGTATCAAGCTTCATTATATATAGTTTTCGTAGATTTTGAAAAGGCCTTCGATTCTGTCAGTAGGAGGAAGATGTGGGCTGCAATGGAAGCTTTTGGAATTCCTCACAAAATCATAAGGCTCACACAAAAGATGTATGATGGATACATTTGCCAGGTGGAACACGCTGGGAGCCTCTCAGAACCAATCTCAGTGGAGTCTGGAGTAAAGCAGGGGTGCCTCTTGTCACCAATATTGTTTATAATGACGCTTGATTGCATGCTTCGGAAGGCAACAAATAGAAACCGAGGCATAAGGTGGGGGTTGCATGGCCGCCTAGAAGAACTGGATTTTGCAGACGACTTATGTCTCCTTGCAGAAAGCTTCCGTGACATTGAAATGAAACTAAATGATCTCCGTGTAGAAGCTTCAGATGTTGGGCTTAAAATAAATGGAAGGAAGACTATGGAAATGCGTATAAATGCACGTAACAATCAAGTCTTGCAGCTACACAACAAAGACATTGAGAGCGTAACTGAGTTTTGTTACCTTGGTAGCATGGTAGGACTGGATGGAGGAACAGACCTAGATATCAAAAGCAGAATTAGGAAGGCCAAGGGAGCGTTTGCCCAACTACGCCCTGTGTGGACATCAAGGCAGATTCTGCAGAAGACAAAATTAAGACTGTTCAACTCCAATGTCATGTCTGTCTTGCTATATGGCTGTGAGACCTGGAAGATTAACAACACAGAAGTGCAAAGCCTACAAGCATATGTCAATAGGTGCCTGCGGTACATTTTGAAAATCTGGTGGCCTAATGTGATAAGAAACGAAGATCTTTGGATGATAACCAAGCAAGAACCAATCAAAAAGATTATCACCAGAAGAAGGTGGAGATGGATTGGCCATACGTTGAGAAGGCCGCAGAGCTGTATAGCAAGACAGGCACTAGACTGGAATCCGCAGGGAAACAGAAAGCGGGGCAGGCCAAAAACAACATGGAGGAGAACCATAGAAAGAGACCTAGCAAGAAGACAGCTGACATGGAGACAGGCCAAGGCACTTGCTGAGGATCGAGACGGGTGGCGAGATTTCGTCGAGGCCCTATGTTCCACCTAGGAACTCACGGAAATAAGTCAAGTAAGTCATGGAATAACCTAGTGCAACAGCGGAGCAGAAGATGACCTAAAGGTCGAAACGTGCGTCCTCCATAAATATAACTGGATTGATTGACGTAAGTTGTAATTATTAATTTAAACATCAATCCGTTTGCTACAAATCAATCATGATACTAAATTAGTATTGCAGCCTGTGATAAATGTTAAGTATTCTTAAGATGATGGCTTGAAAAGGTAGTTTTGAAAACCAAAATCATTTAAAGCTATGGTTCCACAGGATGCGGAATCTCCGCCGTGCGGTGCGATTTTTTCCGCTGGGGAATTAAAACGACACTGGTTTAATGGAGTTCCCATGTGTGTGGTTCCACTGACTTGCGATTCCGCATCCCGAATTTTCGGTTCCGCATGGCGGAGAAATCGTACTGGTCTGAGAGCAGTAGCAGTGCGGATTCCGCCAGCGGAGAAGAGCCATCAAATATTGCGACCGTGCAGTTTCATTATGTCTTATGCTGTAAAAAGAGTTATAGATGAACGATTATAAAGTAACACCTATAATCGCAACAAACAACCGATTTTCAACAAACTAACTGTTAAAATAAATTATTATAATACATTTAACATAAACTGTCGAAAATGGTAGACCTGACGAACAATTATCCTGAGATGTTTGGGTATCAAGTGTTAAACGGGATCTCGTGATTGAAACACCTTAAGTTTTGTTAAATAAATAGCAAAAATAGGCCCCTTCACTGTCTCGATTCTTAAATATGTCACTTCGATCACTGTGACTTGACACTAACAAAGATTAGAGATCGACATCATCATTATCAATGTCATCATATAGCATCAAAGCCAAAAGGGCTTTCCTCTTTCTATCCATACTCGTCGCTAGTTTGGACAGAACTGAATCTCCGCAATGTTATTTTCGCAGTCTGTAGAACCATTCTCTAGATTTTTCGCTGCGTAATTTTCCGCTGCGAAAAATTACGCACCGCATGGCGGAGATTCCGCATCCTGTGGAACCATAGCTTAATCTGTTCAATTAAAATATTCTCCAACTGGGTATATAAAGCTCAAGAAAAGCATTGAATTTTTAAAACTTAACTGACACAGAGAAACCAAGTAGACAGCGCAATAAACTATGTACGATTAATTGTGAGGCACCGTAAGCTCAATTGAGTGAAATCTCCCGTGTCAATTTAAATTTAACTACCAAATTAAACTACTATTTCATCCTTAACTGACTTGGTACTGATACTTTTCTACCATGATTAAATAAAGAAATTAATTACACAAATGATTAAACCCAATTATAAAATCCATTTATATAGTTTTATTACATCAGTTTATACGACAATTTCATTAGAAACCAAGTCTTTGTCTGCTAGCAGTTGACAGGAGGATTTAATGAAAACTTAACTATAGAAAAAAAGAGCACTAAAGTGTTTTGGAGTGGTTTGAGATGAACAGTGTTGATTCCTATCATATCAAAAAAATAATAAGGGTTTGGACGGCAGCCCATAAAATCGTTTGCGTTTGTGATATTTTATTCACAACGCCACTGGTGTGATCAATAAAATAACTTAGCTTAAAGCAAAATGAATCTGTTGCCGATTTGATTATCACGTCATATTTTCAAACTCCCGGCAGGGACCTGGCCGATGTTGGGTCCTAGCACCTTAATGTCTGTTTAAATATTGAACAGTTTACTACACTTTATATATCTTGTCAAGTTAAATGGTCATGTAGCTTTTGTTTTGAAAGAGATTTAATTACCAGTCTGTTATTAAAGTTACACATCGGTAGTTTTTTAAGGCCAAACATGGATCATTAGACTTATTAAAAAATCCTGGCTAAAAACAGCTGGTCTTGGTCAGCAACAAAGCCGTAAGGGTCGTCTTGTACACTTATATCCACCCAAGTGTGATCAGTGTCTTTAAAAAGTTACTAACAGATCGTTTTACAAACACATTGTAAAACTTTATTAACTGTGATGCCAGTTCAGAAATATTGTTCAAAGGATTTTGATTAAAACAAATCAAGATTAACATTTCTCTTTTATTTATAACACGACTTTAATAAAAATAAGATAGCATAATAAATTCTTTCATAGTGACTAAACTAAAAGTAACATTAATTTGCATATTCATATACACTAACAGTTCAACGTATCTACAAAAAAGCTTACACTGTACACTTGTAATTCGGATGTAGCATCATTATGGTTTGAGGAAAAGGGATTTAAAGTTATATAAAGTTCTATAAAGTTTTACCAAGTTAAATATGTTATTTCTAAATAGAATACGAGGCATATACACTTAAAATAAATATTTTTTTTTGGAAGATCAGCTTTTGAGATTTTAAGTCCTATTAATAACTCGGATACTATTTTCAATCAAATGAAAACGATATCAAAATATCTCTATTTAATAAATTTTTACAATATAAAATATTGAATTGGCTCACACAAAATTGCAAACAGATGGGAACATTCGGATTGCCCCTGTCCTGAGTAATAAAAATTTTAAACTCATGGGGGGATTGGAAACTTTTATCTTTAAATATAACTATTTGCATTACAAATATGTACGTTACTCAGTTGAAATGAAAAGGCATCACCATACAAAACAATATGACAAGCAATAAAAAAGTTCTGTTTTTTTTTAATGTAGCATTTTAAATAGATTACAATAGGTATTAATTTCTTCGCATTCACCAAAATATAGTATAGTGAATATTCTCTGAACATTTTTGTCATTCCTAAAATCTTTGAAATTTTTATTATTAGATGCATCAAGCCAATGTTGTTTGACACCCTAGTTAATTCCTACTGTTAATAATACTTAATAAATTACTTAATAAAACACCCTACATTGAGTCCCTGGGATTGATTTACAGAGAGTAAACTAAAAAGAATAAATATTATAGAATTAAATAATGATGGTTTAAATAATTTTAAATAAAAATAACATGATAATAAGGTACATATATATAATATTATGATTTGTAAGTTACACTTGTCACTTGATAGAAGTAGTATGATCATTTCAAAATAACTTTTAAATTATCTATTTATTTAATACTAATATAAAAACGATGTAGTAAAGGTCAAGTTTATAACTGCAAAATTTATTTAACACCAGAAAACATTAGCATAAAAAGCTTAGAACCATAAAAGTCATAAAAACCATGTAAAAAGAAAATATTGTGATCTAATTAATTCCAAAATCATGTAACAATCGTATCTTTGTATATCACAGTTGTACATCCTGCATCTAGCCAAAGTTAAAAGAGAGTATTATAAATTCTCTACTACCTTAACTCATTACAACAACCCTTATACTATATCCAGTTACAATACAAAAGACCTTAATAAATTACAAAGGCAAACAGCTTTAAGGTATTCAATCACAGAAAAAAATTTAATTGAACAAAGATAAAACAAAATTATAGTTGTGGTAACATTATGGCCTGAAAAAGACCAGTAAACAAACAACGTAAAAAGTAAACAAATTGCAAAATGAGTACGTGAAAAAACTCAAAACTGATCTTGGTTAATACAAAGAATTGATCGCTATAAAGAAAATGTTTACAAATTACTGCGAGAACAACAACAAAATAAAGTATATGCAACAACATTTAAACAAACTTGAATCTTTAAAGGAAATTAAAACTAAAAAAGTAAGAATATTGACGAGGTAACTGAATGAAGGTTTAGCGTGCCAGTTGGGTGATAAGAGCAGCACACATCTCAAAAAAGAACATGATGTTATGTCCCGGGCACATTTGCTGTATCTTGTCAGGGTCTGGAAAACACAATATAAATTAACCTGCGAATAGAAGAGTTAGGGTGGGTGGAATAGGGTCTATGGTGGAGAGCCTAGAGATTCAATTAAGGGGAAGAGAGGGGGAATAGTTATTTGTGCAACTAGTGAGAAAAGTGAGCAATTGACTCACTCGAGAGAAATCCTTACTCACGAGCCGTAGGCGAGTGAGGAATGGTTTCTCGAGTGAGGCAATTGTACTTTGAACTCGAGTTGCACATTATACTTTTCCTACAGTTACCATAAAACAAATAAATTGGTGAAGAAACATAACCTATTTTTACACAGAAGTGAACTTTTAATAAAACATTTAATGTGAAGTGACAAATACAACAGTACAACAGCTGACCAGCTGATTTACAGCCAGTGCTGCCAACGTATTTCGCGCGCATACGACGTTGCCTGCATGTTACGCGCTCACTATTTCGTGCCTTCACGTTGCAAATCTGGAGTGAGACAAAGTAATTAGAGTGAGACAATGTTAACATTGTCTCACTGATGAGCGAATTGGCCACTTTGCTTTCTCAAATCAGTGAGAGAACATGTACATTGTTAGGTAACTGTAGGAAAAAGCATTATTTCTCCTATTTTGATTAAAACAAGTGAGAAAAAGTCTATAGACCATTCATAGTCACATCAACTATAGTTTGGTGGTGTGGGGACATAGCCACACAACCCAGAGTGAGCTGCTGCTTGAGAAGAAGACTAAGACAATCATTGCATCCTCTGGCACCTTAATTAGTGTAGACAAAATAATAGACACAATCTATCCAACCTATGATGGTCAAGGATGAAATAATCAAGTATTCTAAGTATATCATCTATTGGACACTAACTTAACAGCTAATATGAAATGTTGATGATAGTTCCAATACCTTGAAAAGATAAGGCTGCTGAATCTTCTTCATTACTGAGACTTTTGAAGTCAAGTAAGTAACTCTTGTAGTCCACCTGATAAAGCTGAAGAGACATCTTGGTATACTCAGAATCTGCAGTCTTGCGATGGCGCACACGGACGTGGTAAGGATTTACAACTTTCCATTCCTGAAAATATCAACCAATTTAATGCCAAAGCCAAACATCAAAGTAGGTATTTTACCTACAACAGTTTTTTTTAAAAGTAGCCCGTTTCAGTGCAGTCCTTAGGATTGAAAAGTTTCACATAACAGCATTGTTTACTTCCATAACAGCATAGTTTTACTCATAACAACACGGGTAACGGACCAATGAGGTTCAAGGATTGAGAAAGAACAAGTAAAATTGTAATGATTCGAACTTCAACTAATTAGCTGTTCAGGCCAATTTAATTGTGTTTGGTACAATGTTTCGTTGCATCACTGTCAGTGGAAATGAGATGTTATAAACAAAAACATAACCTCTCTTAGAAGTTATGAGTAGTGATTTTTAGTAATTAATTTTTAGTAACACTGTTGAAGGTAAAGTCGTGTACGCAAATCGCGTAAATAGTGTTAACGACACTCGTAGAAGTTTTTAAGGCACTCGCCAAGGCTCGTACCTTAAATTTTCTACTTGTGTTGTTGTTGTTAACACTATCTTTAGACAATCGTTGCGTAAACTACTATATTCTATTGTTTATGTGCTATAGACATTGCTAATATCACCAAAACATTTTCTTATTTTTATAAACTGTCCATAGCTTTCCAGTGCCTTGTAGTTTTAATTCCCAAGTCTCTATAGACAAAAAGCAATCCGTCAAACATTGGAAAATAGTGACAGAAGTTTTGTATGCATTGCATCAATCCCATCTTCGGAGCAAACTACAATTCAAGATGAATTGCTGCAATGCATCAGAAACGTCTCCCATTTTCTTTGTCAATCCATCGTTTAGCTCATTCATTAGCTTATTCAACGCGTTCATCTCTTGATTCCACAGTCTACTTTGACCTGGGAAGACTGCCCTTAAGAGTCCTTGGAACCTAGACGTTCTAACTCATAAAACAATTTAAAAACTAAAAAAAGAATACTTCCAAACCTCACAGTACACTAGATATTTATATTGCAATCACTTTATTTATTTTCATCCTAAGAGTGTTGTCCATAAATTAAGGTCTCTATTGTGCTCCCATTGCAGCCACGCCAGCTAGTTCAAATCTGAGACCAATGTCGTGGTCCCTTACTTCATCCACTACTATTCTAGCCGATTCCCACCTCTATGACAGGATTAGTCCTTCCTATCATAGTATTCAAAACGCTGAGAGAGAAAATCAAATTTTCTCTTGTCTCCTCAACATCACAATTCAAAACATCTAGTTACAAGTTGGAAGCTTGAATTCTTTAATCCACCCAGCAGCCAAAATCCTCACTATCTTCATAGTGCCCAGCTTGCCGGGCAAGGCCCTATCTTGTGATCGAATGTTGCCAGGGAGTTAATAGGCTATATATAGCTCTGCAAGAGGTTTATATCACACATTTCCTCACTCAATAGCTAACTCTCATTATACACTAATTTACCACCAAACACAATAGTATTATAGGCCTATCATGTTATGGTTACAACCTAGGTTAGCTGGCTAACCTATAACCTTGGTTAGGGATCCTAGGCTATGCCTATGTTCACGCCAGGGATAGGCTATTAATGGTCTTGGTTTACCCTTCCTCAAAATAGGAGCCACACAACTTAAAAAAAATTACTGAATAGTACAAATTTACTTAAAAGGACTAATTTTACAATTATTATAGCCTACTGAAAAATATTAGAGATGTGTCAAACCCCATAATCGCAAAAAAATTAAGGACATATCCCGCACTCGTGAAGATGTCATTGTCATATTTCGCAAGAGCAGCAAAGTCCTGAGCATTTCCCGTGTCGTTTAGTTATCAGTATTATCTTCCACAATCACGGCAAAATCTTTACCATATTATCCTGTGGTTGCAAAGCATCATGATCGTCAACCGCCATCACAGAAACTATCGTCATCTGCAATCGCGATAAAGGTGTGAATTTTTAGATGCCTGGATCCTTGCAGACAGGTTCTGAGATCATGATTACATTGTGATTGTGAAATCTTGAATCGAGCTCGAAAACTTAAGCCGCTCGCACACTTCTACTGCTAATACAAATCATGCAGTTTTTTATCAAAATTATGTGTTATTTTCTTAGGTACTTACTATTGTAGCAACGGAAAAATTAATAGCTCCACTTTGTACAACCATCAAGTTTAGTGTAGCTTCAAACCGGTCATTAATATTGGACAAAATTATGATATATAAAAATTATCTTAACTTTTTTCTTATGGGGCTGGGGTATCATCACCCCTTACTACCTCAACCTAAAAGATCTTTTGTAGCACCCTTTTAGCTTAGTCACCCAACTGAAGTCTTCTTGCGAAGCTGCTCAGTTGGTGCACACCCATTTCTTGTATTTCAGTACCATCGGGAATGCCTTTCCTAGGTGTTTCAACCTCTTCTGGGCTATCGCCGGACATTCCAGACATATGTGCTCAGCGGATTCTGTTTCGTAGAGGCAGAATCTGCACTGGTCCGTCTGTCCCTATTGTCTTGAGGTACTTCCTTACATAGCCATGCCCTGTAAGTAGACCTATCAAGAGGCTTATTTCCCCTTTTTGGAGGTCGAAGATGTTTCTACATTCCATACTAAGAGGATTGATGAGCATCTTTGATTATCTTAGCTTACTAACCTTAATATTAATTTATTAAGTACTTGAAAGTCTAACATTCTGAATCCGAAAATATTCAAACCCGAAACCTCGCAATATCTAATCCAACTCGATGTGAGCCTTGACTCTCCGATCCAAACTGAAATATCACTATCCACACACCTCTGAAAGGTACCATCATAAATTACATTAGTAAGAATAAAAAAAAAAAAACTAATTTCTAAGCAGTAAAAGTTTACTTACAAAATTCAAGGCTTTCATGGCTCGATAAACTTCATTCATGATATCATTGGGCTTGCTTTGCGAGCGGATGCCTGGAAAGAACAGGAAGTAGGCTTAAAATAAAACACTGGTAATTATCATAAGTCTGAAATAGATGGCTGAAGGATTAAATTTACAGTAAACAAGTTTCATTACTCATATTTCCTCATTTTTTCAGGTATGTGTGGATTTTTGGGTGACAAACACAAATGGAGATTATGGTATTGATTTTATTTCAAAATAAATTAGTTGTAAAATGTATTCGATGCAGACATAAAATTATGTAAAACCACACCAAAATCTCGGCATCTACATAATGAGTTAATTATCCAGGGGTGAACCCTGGATTTGAATCGAGCTACTATCAATATAGTTATGTCAGTCCAATAAAGCACTGTAGCCCTTATGAAGTGTATGGCTGCAGCGGCACGGTTCACTATTAGGTGATCGGAACACAAGTCTAGTTCTGAGTATTACAGCGTGCAATCCATTTGAATTATAGAGATCGATAGGGTCTACTTAATACTTATAAAGTGAGAAGGGAAGCTACTTACACACAACACTTACAAGAATAATTCTAGGATTGTGACAGGCCTGGTCATTAATACCACTGGAGGAACAAGTTTGAATGGGAATAGTAGAATGAATGGGAATAGTTTGAATGTACAGGTGAAGAGGAAAGCAGATTTTAAATGCATGTTTTTGGAATTGTAGTCACACTTTACTGGTCTATAAAGTATATCTTCACTTGAAGTTGAGCAGTACATCATTTGCTTGGGTTCGATAAGTATCAATACTAAATACTTAATACTAAATAGCCTCAACCTAAATACTTGTGGCTTTTGCCCATAAACTCAAATGACAAACAAACACAAACAGCAAAACTTAAACAATGCTAAGTTGCAAAAACCATCAACAAGCAACAGCTAGTGGGGCAAGTATCTAGCGATGGGCAAAAAATGCCATCTATAATCTTAAGTGTTTATCAGACCAGGAACCAGGATCTAGTCAGTGCTCTAGGAACAGGAATCGATTGATATTGAAGATTTGGTGCCAAACTCAGTGACACAGTCTACAAGTCGTAATAACAGTGACAAATATGAAAATGCAACTTTACAAATGACTACACTATCTTCTAATGGTGCTAGCTGGATAGGCGCAGTGCACGAAAATATACTAGCTAATGTGTATTAAGGGTTAACTACAAAATACAAATGTTACCTAAGTGCCATTTGGCACGCTTGACTGGAGTTCCTCGGTTCGGTCTTGGATCTCCACCACTCATCTGACTCATGGCACGCTCTCTCAGAGCTGGAACAAATAAAGGTCTTGTTATTGATAGGTTATTGGTTGTTTGTAAAATAAAATTGGCATCTCACTATTAGTCCTGTTTCCAAATACTACAAGCAAAAAACCTTGTACAGTAGAGTCCCGCAAACTCGGCGTAATGTGGACTGGAAGGGTGCCGAGTTTGTGAAATGCCGGGTTATCGGGAACTAGGGTTAAAAATAAGAACAATACAATTTTTATTCCTTTTAGCTGCCTTATTAATTTATATTTATATTACAAGTCAGTATGAAGTCATTAGATATAGTACAACAAATCCTTGATACGAGTTGCGAATGATTTAACTTGAGCCCAAGTTTAACTCGGACTCAAAAAATCACTAATTTTCTGAGCCAGGTGATGGCCGAGTTATCCAGACTGCCGGGTTATCGAGTGCCGAGTTTGCGGGACTCTACTGTATCACAATGTTCTAGACAAACAATTACATAGTTTAAGGTCAAAATGTGTTGTTTAAAATTTTCTCTGTAACTTTTTAAGTGGATGGATATGTTTTTTGAAAAATTAATTGTTGTCACCATGTGAAAATCAAAAAGTTGTAAGCAACGTGCATAAATAAGCCACACATTGAGCAAAACACGTTTAAAATTCTAAGTATTTTATTTTTAATTTTATTGAAATGTTTGATACTACTAAAATACTGTTAGATATACAAATATTTGTTACTGTAAAATTTTCAATATCTTAAGATAACTATAATTTGAATTAGATCAGTTTTTACCAAGAACCTTTTATCATTGACTATACACAGAATAGACTTTCCATGTAATGTAAAAATTTGAAGTAAAAAAAAAAAACGTGGTTGAGATGGTCACCAACTAAACAATATTCTGTGTTAAGAGATAAATCAATCAGCTGTTTGCTATGATACTGCATTGGTTTGAAATAATATTCAACCCAATACACTAGTAAACTCCGGTGAGATGGTCCTGAACTTCATCTATTTTTTTTGGCTTCAAACTTTCATATCACATGGGAAGTATATTCTGTATAAAGTCAATGCTTTTATTTAATATATATTTGTGTGATTAAAATTATTCAAAAAAAATATTAAGTAAAATTAATAATTATTTGATTTCGATTCTCTACTCAACTCAATGAAATTTAATGAAGATATTTTGAGGAATTTGGTGACTTAAGCAGTAAAGTAAAACAGATTAGCGAACTTCAAAATGACCAAACTCGCATATTATGCTGGATCAAAATTATTGTGAAACATATTTTTTTAACTCTCTATATTATAATAATTTGAAAACTGAACAGTTAAAAAATGTCTGAAAAAGGCAGAACATCTTTAAATTAATGAGTTAGAAGAACAGAGTTTGGTCAAAGAAAAAAGCGTATTGTTTGACAACCACAAACCTGAATTTTACTTCAACAATGTTATGTTCTGTAAGTATTTTGAACCTGACGATTTTGAGCTTTATACTTACTTGTGATTACTATCAGAAAAAAAACAAACATTTCAATTGCAGCTTTTAGTTTGGACGATTTTTGGCAACAAAATATGTTTTAAATCAACAAATCCATTTCTAACATCCAAACTACTTTGAACTATATCCTATGATCCTCAGTTGATAACCATAACTAGATGGTCAATAAATGTAACTAAAAAATGCACTTTTGTAGCAAACCAAGCATATGCTGTATTAGTGATGGCACTAGTATTATGTGTTAAGTTAAGCGATTAAAAAAGCATATTAGAAGTTGAACTATACACTACTCTCTGTTTAAACAGGGTGTCTAGTTTATTTCCATTATAAAATTCAAGACTAATTCCAGACTTTTCAAGACTAATTCCAAATTTTTCAAGACTAGTTTTTCAACAATTAGTGCGTGTTGATACCAAAATGTATCGATTCTCGATTCTTGATACCGATACCAATTTTTATAGCTTAACCAAATTTTCTATATAATACTACACCAACCCCTGTCTTTGTCATAAAGGAGTATTATGATAATGTGGTGTTTTCAAGTAAAAAAATAATGCAGCAATAAAAAATTCTAACTAGCAAATTTGGTTTGGCAAATTTAATTTTTTATCATGAAATCTTCCACGTACCGTACGTTTAGACATCATTATTGACTGCAGCGGTTACAGAAACGTGATCGTCGTCGTCCGCGATCACGGCAAAATCATGAATATTTTCCGCGGCCTTGTAGACATCAATGACATCATTGTCATCTCCCGCGGTCACGGAAATGTCATCGTCGTCGTCCGCGATCGCGACAATATCAAGAACATTTCCCGCGGCCGAGCAGATATCATCGTCGTCTCCCGCGGTCACGGAAACGTCATCGTCATCTCCCGCGGTCACGGAAACGTCATCGTCGTCGTCCGAGATAGCGGCCAAATCATGAACATTTCCTGCGGCTGTTTAGACATCACCGTCATCTCTCGTGGTCACGGAAACGTTATCGTCGTCTCCCGTGGTCACGGAAACATCATCACCGTCGTCCGCGATAGCGACAAAATAATGAAAATTCCTTGCGGCCGTGTAGACATCATCATTGACTCCCACGGCCACGGAAACGTCATCGTCGTCTCCCGCGGTCACGGAAACGTCATCGTCATCTCCTGCGGTCACGGGAACGTCATCGTTGACTCTCGTGGTCACGGAAACGTTATCGTCGACTCCCGCGGTCACGGTAACGTTATCGTCGTCCCCAGCGGTCACGGAAACGTTATCGTCGTCCCCAGCGGTCACGGAAACGTCATCGTCATCTCCTGCGGTCACGGGAACGTCATCGTTGACTCTCGTGGTCACGGAAACGTTATCGTCGACTCCCGCGGTCACGGTAACGTTATCGTCGTCCCCAGCGGTCACGGAAACGTTATCGTCGTCCCCAGCGGTCACGGAAACGTAATCGCCGTCGTCCGCGATCGCGATAAAATCATGAACAATTCCCGCGGCCGAGCAGATATCATCGTCGTCTCCCGCGGTCACGGAAACGTCATCGTTGTCCCCAGCGGTCACGGTAACGTTATCGTCGTCCCCAGCGGTCACGGAAACGTCATCGTCGTCTCCCGCGGTCACGGAAACGTCATCGTCATCTCCTGCGGTCACGGGAACGTCATCGTTGACTCTCGTGGTCACGGAAACGTTATCGTCGACTCCCGCGGTCACGGTAACGTTATCGTCGTCCCCAGCGGTCACGGAAACGTTATCGTCGTCCCCAGCGGTCACGGAAACGTAATCGTCGTCGTCCGCGATCGCGATAAAATCATGAACAATTCCCGCGGCCGAGCAGATATCATCGTCGTCTCCCGCGGTCACGGAAACGTCATCGTTGTCTCCCGCGGTCACGGAAACGTCATCATCATCTCCCGCGGTCACGGAAACGTCATCTTCGTCGTCCACTATCGCGGCAAAATCGTGAACATTTCCCGAGGCCGTGTAGACATCATCATCGGCTTTCGCGGTTACGTAAACGCAAGACGACGATCGCGGCAAAATCATGGAAATTCCCGACTTTGAAATCAAATTTAAGACTAAATCCCGACTTTTCAAGACCATTTTGAAATTCAATACTAATTCCCGACTTTCCCGATTTTCCCGACTACTAGACACCCTGTTTAAAAGTTATCGTTTAAAGCTAGTACTAACATATCTACCTCCTGTTTTAAAATGGTTTTATACATTAGGTTAGCATTTTAAACTACTTTAGGTTAAACATTTATTTTTGCCTAATAAGTTTAAAACAAGAAATAATGGTAAATAGATAAATAAGGAACTGTAGCCTATGAAGATTTTACTGCTCTTTTACTGAGCAAAAGGTTTTGTATCCGTACCAGTTTTTCTAAGATTATTTCAGCCTAAAGAGTTATCTTTGTTACAGTTTAGACAGCATTATAACTTGATTATTGGTATATGTCTTAATACTATAATACCCAGCATTGATCACCAGCCCGGTATTATTAAGCACCAGGTTTTATCTGTAGTTAAATAATTGCAATCAACACTACCTATTGAATCATTTCCCCCAGATAGGGAGAGAGCTCGTTCTCTGGAAACTGAAACATGACACAGCATTCACACAAAGACACGATACAATATCACTTGATTAGGAGTCTGTCGGGTCATTTATGGTGGTCAAAGGTGTTCCAATGTTTACATTTTTGGGCCGAGCTTTTATTTTCATGATACTGTCAGAAATATTATATCAATATTTACTGCTTTCCACCACAATCGTAGAAAGTGTCTTCAAATATTGCAGATTTCAAAATTCATTATTTAGCTGCAATCACAAGGAGACGTTCAAGATTGCATTGCGATCCTAGTAGATAATGAACAATATACCGATTGTAGGCTAGTATTACAATTAATATTTGATTAAATCAATACTTCCCAAACAAGAAAATTTTGGCCCAAGACACCATGATCAAAATATTTTACCCGACTTGACCCAAAGTAAAAAAGTCTGGCCCGCAGACCCCTATAAGACTAAAAATGCATGTTGCTTAGATTATACAAACTGTTTGGTGAATTTCTGCAAGAAACATTTCAAGAGATTTACAAAAATACATTATCTTATTCAGAAATGAGATTTCATCAAACAATAGTTTTATGGTTGAACAAATTTTGAGATTAAATTTATAACTAAAAAATACAGTGATAAGATATTAGTGAATGTAATTTAAATATTTAGGAATATTAAATATAATTTTAATTAGGAAGTTAAACCGTCCTCTCCTTTTTTTCTAGTTATTATAATTTGGAAAAGGAGCAATATTAAAATGAAAGTCAGAATTCACATCTAACCAATGTTTGTTATAAATTCACAGTTCACATTTCAAAGTTTGAATGGAGTCGGTGTTTACCTATTATTTATTACAGGAAATTATTGATTTTGTTGGTTTCAAGCGTTTAAACTTAACTACACATTTATATTTTTGTATAGAATAAAAACTCTTTCTCCATACTCTCTCTCATTTTCCTTTTCTTAGTTATAAGAAAATTCACCCCCACCCCTGGGTTTAATTGCCCTGTTACTTTTTTTAAGTTCCTAATTTAATGTCATAGTTTATCCTTTCATATTAAATATTTGGGTTAATAAGACTTCAGGCAAATTGAATTGTCAAATATTTCAACCGAGTAAGAAACAAGAAGAATGTTTACATCTTACTATGTTTTTCTGTGCGTTTCTTTCAATAATAAGCTCATGAACTACTGTTATTTTGATGTATTATCAAGCTAATCTATAAATTTTACCTACACGTTACCTAGTAAAAGATAATAATCTTTTAAAATTTATAACTGTAACAAGAAGTTATGACGTCTGTATTATATGACATGATCACTCAATGAATTAAATACTGCTGATGATTATTAATTGTTTATGGTTTATATTTTTCTAGTCAGATACTACAAAGTGTACAGGTTTAGAGATTTTAAATTTCACCTCCTTAAATTTTCAGTAAAAACAATACACCACAGAAGATATTATATTAACTTGAATAATCGTTCAGAGAACATTGATCTTGAACATATAGGTACTCAACATACGTGCAATTCTCTCTGGATGGGGCTTGATGGGGCTGGGGGCGAGCTCTGAAGGACTGAAGGACACAGGTGGAGGGCTGCTGGCTACGTAGAAATCCTTGAGTTCTGCCTTGGCCGCCTCATCAGCTATACGCTTGTTGTCAATCACCAGGTGATAAGCGATGCCCAGCTGGTCGTGAGGGTCTCCACTTAACAATGCGTTGTGCACTTCGTGTTCTTTCACACCAAACTTCTAAAAAAGAGTTTAACATTAACAGGATGTTACTTGACAACGGTGGAAGCTTTAATAGCAAAGGTCTCCAAGAATTAGTAGAAATATTTGAGTGCAGGTTATTGCTCAATAGCGAACCTAATTAAGTGTTGACATAAACAAATTGCAGTTGTTTCAAAATTAAAAGTTGAAATTAGTTTAAATTTAAAAAAAAATTTTGAGTAGAAATAATTCTAGTACTATTGTCATTGAAGTTAAAAATAGTAGCCTAGCTTGTGTTTTGGCAGCTGTTTGATTAAGTTAAATCTGTCTTAGAGAAGTGATTCCAGCAATTTCAAAAACTTATGACTCATTTTGAAAGTTATGCAACTTTCAAAAATGGCATTATCATTGAATCACAAGTGGTCAGCATCTACCAACTAATCAAAGGGATTGAAAACACCAGACAGTTAGCTGATCTATGCTATTAAAAAGTAAATAAATAATTCTACTATTTACAAAACTGTGCTTATTATAAGAATTGAGTTTAAGTTTGGTTTGACTTATATTTTTAAATTCTACAACTACACTAGATCTATTAAAAAATATTGTTCTTAGAGCACTTTGTGGTCCCGGATCAATGAAAAAAAAAAAAATGTTCATGGCTTTCCAGGCTCTTTGAAACATGGAACCAGTTTCTATTGAATTCTGGGAACGGGCCTTCTCTGGATGGCTCACCTAAAACAAAGCCAGTTGTCTATTCTAAGTAAAACAAACACATGCAAAGCACACAAACCATCTTAATGAACCAACAAAAAAAAATACAGAGAAGAAACAAATACAGCTAAAAATAAAGCATGCAATATCAGGGCCGCCCCGAGGGCGGGGCGAGCGGGGCGACCGCCCTGGGCGCCGCGGCTAGGGGGGCGCCGCGGCTTTGGTAGGTAAAAAATTTAACAACGTTATCGGCAAACAGCGAACGAATATTTTCCGGGAACTCGTAAACATGTAATCAATGACAATGACTATTTAAAAAAGACAATATTTAGCTTTCGTTTTCGTTTTATTCGTAAAATTAATACTGTTATTTAATATACAACTCGTACTATTACTAGGCCTACTTTTACGTCTGCCGTGTTGGCAATACTGCGAGTCCGAGACATACACACTGCGCATTCACCCACACGCACCTACACTTGCTCGTTTCTAACCTCAAATTTAGTTCAGTGTAGTTGAGTTAGTCTATGGTAGTTGTTACGTTACGATTAGCTCAGTGGTTGTGCAAACTTGAACTGTTAATAAAGACGTGGTTTTGACGATAAGTACAACATGTAACAGTGATATTTCCTTAGGCCTACAGTAGGATTACTACAAAGTGAATGACTGTTTTAAATAACGATGTCTAAAAAACTTTCTGGAGCGCAAAGACGCAAGTTAGTTCGAGAAGAGGAGGCTGCGACTGAAGCACTTCTGAAAAAAGTCCCAAAGCTTACATCCTATTTTGCTCCTTCCAGTTCTTCGGCGGTAATAATTAGTGAGCCTGAACATGTCTCAGTAAACGTGAGTACACCTAATGAAGTCCTTCCAGATTCAGTTTCGATTGAAGAAAATATTAATGAGAATGAAAAGTTGTCGATTTCATCTCCTAAAACCGTCAACGTAGGCCTAATCAATTCAGATCCATCCTCTTGGCCAGATATCATTAATAGAGATGAAAGAGACGAGTTAATTTTAAAAGGGCCTATACCGTTAAAGGCTGATAATGATTATCCAAAAAATGCCCAAAAGAGACATTTTTCGAATGAACACCAATTTCGATGTGCGGAAAATGGGGAAAAGGTAAAACGCAAATGGTTGGTGTATTCTGAAGGCACCAACTCAGTATACTGCTTCTGTTGCCGACTTTTCGAGCCTAATTCAAAGTCACAACTTGGTCAAAAGTCAGGTTTTAATGATTGGAAACACCTGGCAGAGCGACTTCGTTTACACGAAACCACACCAGAGCATTTCAAAACTATGACTATCTGGTTTGAAGCCGAGCTACGTCTAAAAAAATGTATTTCGGTGAATCATGCTCTATCGGACCAAATTAGGAGAGAGACAGAAAGATGGCAGGAAGTTTTTAAGCGCCTTGTCGCTATAATCTTATATTTGGCAGAACATAATATCGCTTTTCGAGGGTCATCTTCAAAGCTATTTACTAAGAATAACGGCAATTACTTAGGTCTGATCGAGCTGATAGGACAATTCGATGGTGTCATGTCAGATCACTTGCGAAGGGTAACTAGTGCCTCCTCCCAAGTGACTCTTCTAGGAAATAATATTCAAAACGAGCTAATTTGTCTTTTGGGATCTGAAGTAAAGAAGGCTACAATCAGAAAAATAAATAAATCCAAGTATTTTTCTGTAATCTTGGACAGCACTCCAGATATAACCCATAAAGACCAGATATCTCTCACAATCCGATATGTAACAGAACAAGATGGAATAAGTGGTGATGTGGCCGTTGAAGAAAGTTTTATTGGATATAAAGTGGCAAAAGAATCAACTGGAGAAGCTCTCTCAGAGCTGTTGTTCGCTGAAATTGAAAGTTGCCATTTAAACATGAATGACTGCCGAGGACAAGCTTATGACAACGGTGCTAATATGGCTGGTGTAAACAAAGGTGTCCAGGCTAGAGTCTTAAAAGAATATCCTCGTGCTTCGTTTACACCGTGTACCAGTCACAGTTTGAATCTGGTAATATCTGATGGTGCAAAGTCGTCTGTTAAGTCAACCTCACTGTTTGGAATAATTCAGAGGATCTACACTATATTTGCGGGATCGACAAAACGCTATTGTATAGTGAGTGAACACGTCCAATCACTAACTATTAAACAAGTTTGTGAAACTCGCTGGGAAGCGAGGATTTCTTCCATTCAGGCTATCAGGTACCAGTATGCTGACGTTAGACAAGCATTAATTGAACTTGCAGACAGTGTTGAAGACCCTAAAACAGCATCAGAAGCTCAGTCTCTGATATCGCATATGGAAGATTTTTCTTTCTTGACTTGTTTAATTGTTTGGCACGACCTTCTGTTTCAAGTTAATCTTGTAAGCAAAACATTACAAGGGAAAATGACTGATTTAACATCAGCCAAAAGGCTGCTTGATAATTGCCAAGCCTTCCTAGGGTCTTTTCGAGAATCAGGGCTTGTAGATGCAATCATTTGTGCTAAGGAGATTGCCGAAAGTATTGGAACTGAGCCCGTTTTCCCGAAAAAGCCTTTAAGGAAGAAAAAGAAACAGTTTTCTTATGAAGGGCCAGATGAAATTAACGGTACTCCACAGGAACTCTTTAATAGGGATGTATTTTTGCCCCTTGTTGATAGTGTAACCACATCTCTTACTGAACGTACTGAACAGCTGAAAAAGCACCATTCTTTATGGAGCTTTTTGTATGACCTTAGCAAGTTGCCAGAAAAAGAGGAGTTGAAGAAGTGTTGCCTGAAACTTCAAGAATTTCTTACATTTGATAACATTAGTGACATAAACGTAAATGACTTGTATAATGAAATTATCCACGTGAAAAGCATCGTTCATGATGAACATAAAACAAATGAAGCGTTATCTCCCATCAAGGTGCTAAAGAGTATTAAGTCACATGACCAAAAAGATCTATTTACAAACTTGTGGATTGCTCTAAGGATATTGCTGACCATCCCCCTAACTGTAGCAAGTGCTGAACGAAGTTTTAGCAAGTTAAAACTCATCAAGACGTATCTGCGATCCACTATGACGCAAGAAAAGCTGAATGCATTGGCAATTTTATCGATAGAAAATGAGGCGGCAAAACAGTTAGACTTTAAAGACATTTTAACCTCTTTTGCAAATGCCAAAGCTAGGAAAATTCCATTGGGTGTAAATTAATCTTGTATTATGGTTTCAAAGTTGTATCTACTGTATTGCCAAAAGATTTATCTACATAAGTTCTGTTTGTTATACTGTAATTTCAATATTATAATGATACGTTTTTGTAAATAAAGTGTTGTGTTTCTTAATAAATGGTATACATTTTTTTTAAACAATTTCAAAGATTTTCGTCTCTAATGCTTTTTCATATACTTTTATGGCAAATTATGTTAGCAAAAGTTCGGCATTTTGTAAATAATAGAGTTATTTTTAAATGCTAACAGCGTGCATTTACTAACATTATTGTTTACATTGACCGTCTATGGACCCATTCCTATATTTAAACAAACTGAATACTGTATGTAAAGGATTTAAAAAATACATGGATAACGTTCGATATCGATGAACCCTCTATCGACGCAAACCCCCGAAATACCTTTGTTTAGGAGGGGCGAAAATTTAAATCTTGCCCCGGGCGTCTATAGCCCTCGGGGCGGCCCTGTGCAATATAAATTAGGATAAAAGGCATACTACTTAAAAATGCACATTCCAATAGAAAAAATAACACTATAAGTGCTATATAAATCTATTTTGAGTTATTTTGGTGTTAGTACATTTCAAAGTTTGCCATGCAAAGTTTTAAGAACCATCTTGAAACTAAATTCAGAAATGCTTGAATTTGGCAAAATCTTAAATGTTTGATAAAATAATTTCATAATTAATCTTAATAAACTTTTAAACGTGCAAACACTAATTGCTTTTAAAATTAGAAAAATGTATTAGAATTCACAAATTTGAAATACTTGGGAGACTTATGGCCTACATTTTGAAACCTAAATCTAAAACTTTCCCAAAACATCAACACAAGAACAGAATGCTATAACATTGGTTATTACATAACTAACAATGTAGTAATAGTATGCATACATCATGAAAGATCTGGAAAAACTGTTGATGTGATATTGGGAAAAAAACTGATTACATTGCTCAGCAACATAAAATAATGAGGAAACGTTTTAGTTAAAATCTAATCTTGAAACTAATTGAAAATGTAAAAAACAATGTGTGAAAAGAGTCAATCTTCATTGTACGAGTTGTAAGTAAGAAGAATTTTTATGAGTTCTTAAGCAGCCTGCTGATCTGTAAAAAGG